GTTTCCGTCGTGTCCGCGCGTCGCGAAATAACCCCTGGGTTCCCTTCATTTATTTCCCTGTCTCCTCGGCGTTCAGATCCACCTTCTTTTTGCGTACGCAACGCTTTCTCTTCCCTCGACCGTCCCGGCGAAGGGTTGCGTGTTGAAAAAGAAGGGGCTCCGGGCAGAGAAGGCCGACTGAAAAACGACACACCGAGGCACGATGACTTTCGGAATCATTTTTCAAAATGTCTGCCACCGCCTCGACGGGGGGAGGCGGAGGACCGACACCGACGAACGAGGGTGGGGTGGGTGGGTGGTTAACCCCCGTAGCGAAGGGTGGCAAGATGGCGGCTCACGGTAAATCGATGGAGGCTAGTCACTGCAGGCGCCCTCGCTTTCACAATCCCCAAACTCATCCCCCTGTGCCGCCGCCACCGACCCCCTCATTTTCGTGCTTCACGCAAGCGCCCGCACCCTGAACGCCGTCTCCTCGCCCGTCTAAGAATCATTCCGCACCGATGACCCACTCGCAGCGAAAACTTTCCACTTTTTCCACCCCTTTTTTTCCTTCGAGGGCGAAAAAAAATCTGACTTTTTTTCGCGTTGCTCGGGAAAACGTCGCTGACGATTTCCGTCTTAATCGTCATACGATTTAACCTGACGATTTCTGGGGATTTAAATTGCTCGCTGTATTCGATTCGATCGTCGATCACTCGTGTTTTGTAGATCCGACAAAATATTCGTAAAGAAACGGAAGAAATTTTTAAGTTTCAAAATTATATTAAGGGTAATATAAATGGCAAATCAAATACTTTTTCAAGTTTGTCTGACACTTGAGTATGATAGCGATCGACACAATCAAAACACAGAGATATTGCGTATTGCTTGTACGTGATGTTCTGTTATCTGTTAATTTTTTTCAAATAGTAGATGGTTATCAAAGACATTTATTCTTTGTGAAGATGTTGAAAGGCCTCTATAATTGCGTTTTCTTTTCTGGTATACTCTTTTTCTTCTTTTTTCTATTATCAGTCTCACATTTAGTACCTTTTATCTCGTACGAGTAATGAGAGTATAAGTCGTAGCATTTAACGTTATTTTAAAGTCAAAAAATCCCGAGAGGGTTACATTGAAAATTTCATGGGATGTATCATCCCATTAAGGGTAAAGGGGTTAAAGGGTTAGTCTGATCTACGTAGTACAAATTTAGGCTTTGCTTTCATATCAATTAAACAAAAAATTAGTAGACCTGTCGATTTCAAATTCTGTTCACACATTTTGAAGATTCTTTGTATGTATTTTCCAAAAATTACCGATTATTTATTTTCGAGTTGCATACTTGTATCAAAGGAAATAAACGAACAGTTATTTAAAGCTGTGTTGTTATGGTTTTCTGAATCAGAAGTGCCCTAGCAAATTTGTGAACTAAAAAGTTAAAAAAGTAATCGAAATTGTGTATTTGTGTCCTTTCCAAAAAAGTTTGATTTTAGATAGAAATTTAAATATTTATTATGCAATAACTCTAAAAGTTGTCAACATATAAATGTTGTATGTGTACAATGTTTTACGTCGATCTTAGAATATCGTGCCCACCAATTTGAAAAATTTGTTTTTAAAAAATTAGCTTTAACTCTTCAGAGTTGACTTTGAAATTCTATCTTTGCCAATTTTTATACATAACACTTCAAAAAATGCAAAAGATTTTATTTCTTTGTTCATGTCGATAATTAACAACTTTGAAGAAAATATGTATAATATTGGAGTACAATAGCGTGCACAATGTGTTTTTGAAAAATTGCACAGAAATGAAGAAGAAGCAGAGTAAATAGTAAGGTAATTTAGGAAACGAGATCCATATTTACATTTGTAAATTGTAGAAAAATTAGATCACTCCAAATATGTCTAGATGGCACGTAAAAGTTAATAAAAGTGAACGTTTTATGTGTCCATTAATAATTTCAAAAAGGATTGAGTCTATTACCATTCTGTGAACCACTAATGTGTACATGTTAAGTATATATAAAATTGGACTGTTATATAATTTGGACGATGTAAATATTAGAAATTTATGTTAGACTATCTCTAATATTACTTCGTGCTTAGAATATACTGGAAACCAAATAATAGTAGCATATTCTAAACGAGATCCACCTAACGTTACATTTAATAGCATAACAGTCTGAATATCCTTAACCCTTCTGAACCTGAAATTTATACACGGTTTTCGGTCAAATTTCGTTAACTAATAATTGTTTCGTGAGTTATTTTGGACAAATTGCAAATGTACGATGCAAAATACATTGAAAAAGATCACTATACTTTCACAAGAGTACACTTGCATATAAAATACACCTTCGAATTGTACCAAACATCACGAACTTATTTGCTTCGAAATATCATACGCAAAGTTCAAAAGATTTTCTTTCCTTTAATTAAATATCAAAGAACGCGCGTGGGAGGGGTCGACAAATAAAAGTAGCTGATCCCAACTTTGCAATATGTTTGGACTTCTTTTTTGCCTATTATAAATGTTTTATGGCAGCAGGGGAAGCGTATCGGAAAAAACCGGACGAAGTAAGAAAATCCGAGGCGAAAAATAAGAAAACCTTCTGGGTAGCCGAGTGCAACCGGTTTTTTATCCCCTCATATACGATGCAAACCTGTTTGATTCTGTCTGAGAAACGAACGCCCGCCGAGGGTGAGAACTTGCGACGGCGCGGAAAAAAAAGGATACGCGAGTACGGAAGGTTAGCTGGCACAACAGGTTTCCGTCTCTTAAACCTCTAACTCCGAGATTTTTCCTTTCGGTCGTTTATTTCACACCCCGAGGGGGATTACACGTACCTGCCGCGTAACGGAGTTAAAATAATTGAATTAAAGTCTGCTTATCATATAAAAACGCGTTAAATAAACTACCATTTATCCAGCAATACGGTGGGAAGAAGTTTCTTTCAAGCTGTCTTGATTCGAGATTGGATATTGATGCTCCGAGCATCAGTATCCATCTCACAGGAGAAATATATGTGCTTGGCAATTTCAGTTTTCTCGAGTATAAACGCGATTGATTTATGGGGAAGAACTGTCCAATTTTATCCAATTTTTCTCCTCAAAATTATTATTAACAGATTGATTTCATCACAGCATGAAAAATAAAAATATTCAAATATATCTATCATTCGATAGTATTCCTAACGATAATAACGTTGTTTACAAGTTCATAAACACCAGAATTTATCCATAGTACGCGATTTTATTATTTTTGTTAAATAATGACTTGCAAATGAAAAAAGTTGATAGTTTGTTTACTCGATGATCCCAGAGAAATTTGTTGAATGCCGAAATAAATGTAGCTCATTGAAAGAAAAGGAAACATCTGCTCGGAAGTTAAGATCGCACATACCGTGGGACGTCACAACAACAATGTATCGCCAACAGCTAATTGGTGATCTTACAATATGTGCGTTCTGTTATCGATTTGCGTCATTAGAAGCACTTGTAACGAGCCATAAACAATAAATATAACAATCTGATTCATTACAGTATAGATTGATATAACTAATTCGAGTATACAATTTTTACTGATATACTTTAGAGATTAACATTAATGGTTTCAATGATATAGGTCTGATAAAGTAATAAATTATTTCTCTGTTCACTGATTACTACGTCAAAATAACACAATAAACAATTTGTATTTCTAATCTGGCATTATATACATAATTTTTGATAGAATCGTTGAGTATTATATGAATAAAAATCTATCAAATTTTCAATTTTATGTTTCACGTGATCTCTAGTAACTGTTAGCATATTAGAAGGTATGAATGATAAGAAAATGTAAATTGTCAAAAAGAATAAAAATAAACAGTGACAATTAAAATAATAAAATTAAATTACCAATCTTATATTTATAAACTATATCTGCAAGTTTTATTAATATAAAACAGTTGATCTTGTTTTAATAAAAAATTATTATGATGTGAATCTGGACAAACAAGTTACTCGTGGATAAAAATAAAAATTTTTAATCTAATTTTCTCAGCAGAATGTTGATTTTAAATAATTGTACGTCAGTACTAATTATCATCCAATTTATTTTATGCATTTTTGTTTTATTATCTACGAGTTCATTTTCGTCAAATGAAATCCAAGTTAATTTCTTCTCAAATAAATATTCATTACTCGAAAGTTTTAATAAAAGACAAAATAGATCAGAAGCTTGCTACTGCTCCTGATACGCAGGAACAAATTCGTGCGGAGACTAACTGTCAAGAGTAACTCTATCGAAATTAATCTGTAAGGCCCGTTGCCCTTAATTACACAAGAATACGAGGATAAGAGTGTCTTCGAATTGTAAGCTTGTTCGAGTCAATCGAGCTAAGAATCCCTAATTCTACCCTTAATCTAAGCTCGATTGCATCTACCAAAGTGATGAGGATGAACATCGATCACCAGAGGGAGGATCGGTCAAGCCAATCTTCAAAGTCGTCACCTTGGCGTTTCTTGTTTTTTGCAACATTCCCACTCTGGTGTCTAGAGTCCAGGTAGACCATGCAAGGGTGAACGAGAGATTGCCTTTTTAATAACAATTGCACCCCGGTGCACCGCAGTTGTGAGCCAACGTGAGTTTACGATAGGTCAAACGCTATTGAGTCGAGGAAGAGCTCCAAGGATTCCAAATTCTGTGTGGAATTTGGAGATTCCTTAAACTACCCTAACGTAATTTGCCAAAGAAATGTCTCTAAATTCCGAACCTCAAAAATAACTATAAGTCACGTCCGTATCGTAAACCCATGTTTGTCCTCTGCATCTTTATTGTTGATGTTCGTCCACAAATGCCGATCATTATCATCAAATTAAGTAACTATGTATATCTTTCGTTGACGCAGTATCTATTTGCGATGCAGAAGTGCTCCGACAATTATTCGTAACCGCCCAATTAAACGATTCTGGCATGAGTCGAACAGCTTTTGCTTATCGTGCACCATCTGTTTATAAATTGCAAATGGAAGAAATGTATTATCTTATCATTCGAACTGAAGTATCAATACATTCTGTCGGCTTTATAAACGAACCACCTACGAATATCACCAGCAGAATGAACTCAAGCATGATGACACGCATTCTAAGTAGTTTCTTCCTTATTTGCAGTATCAGCGGTAAACACAACAACTTTTCTGACTTCGTTTTCCTTTCATTTCTCATGAACTGCCCGGCTGCACTGTTCTCTATAATATTAACTACACATATATCACGCACTCGCGTACAATGTTGTAGCTTATTGTTAGTTTTAGTTTGTTATCGTCAAGAATGATAAAGTATAATGTAGAAACGTTTTCAAGTCGAAGTTCATCGTCACCGTAAATTTGCAGAATCGTTTTTGTATCGTTAATTTGATATAAAAATAATGTTTACAGGTGTCTGGTCGGTTCAGGAAGAGATCGTTGATGCTTTGGAAAATGGAGCTCTTTCGCCTGAAGAAGCCTTCTCGGATCTGGTAGTGTTCGACGACGATGGTAAACCTGTTAAAATAGATTTCGATCTAAATGATCCGGAAAGCGAAGAAGAAACTAGACAGCAGTTGAAGAATCGTGTCATCTTCCACTTGCATACAAGATCGAATCCGAAACAACCTAAGACTTTACGCGTGGGTGACGTGGCTGCTTTGAACAAGAGTGACTTCAATCCGAAGAAACATACAAAATTCATTACACACGGATGGATGCAATCTTCCAAGAACGATGCTTGCACCAAAGTTCGTGATGGTACGTGTTTCTGGATTATTAAAGAACTCGATATTTAATCAGAATGTTTGGGTACATTCTGAATAGAAATATTGTGGTAACCAGTATATTATTTAATTTCATAATATTTAAATTAATCTTAAAGCTATGTGCAGAAAATTTGCTTCCATGAATTTGTCGCGTTCGAAAAGTGTATCAAAGAGTTATATATTTCTTTATTGTATAAATTGTCTAAGGTTCCATGTCAAAGTTTGTGGCATCAAAAAGCAATTAGACGTTCTAGTCGGTCTTGGCACAAGCAAATTTGAGAAACTAAATTTGAAAGTTTAATTTAATTCAAAATTTTTCGACTCTAGTTCGAAATAAGAAAATACATACAAAATTTGTATAACATAAGAGATTAATGATAGATTGAGAACTAAATTTCTTTTACTCTATAAATATTACTAATAAAAATAGGCGTCGTGAATGACTGTCAAGTTATCAAGAAATTGTTTTTCTATAAAATTTCAAACATAGCTTCAAATTTCAGAAACACGAATTTGTTCGTGTCTTATTAGAAGCCTATAATATTGCAAAAATTGTGATACCATCACGTGTCACGCAAGTGAAAATTTTTTGTTTCTTTTTCTCAATATTATCAAGAAGTCGGTGTAGATTTATTTTTTGTTCAAATTTGAAATAAATTGGATATTTGCCTGAGAGTTAAATAAACCTAAAGAAGTTACTATAACAAAGGACTAGAGTCAACACCTTTTCTGAACTGAATAAAATACCTAAATCGCGTAAGCTTTATCTTTTAAAAGAGTTCTCATCGATTCATTCATTATTCCTTATCTTTTGCAGGTTTCCTTAATAATGGCGATTACAACATCATTGTAGTGGATTGGCAAAAAATATCGAAGAGGCCATATCTTTGGGTCAGTAGACGAATACCGATGATCAGTAAATACGTCTCCTCCATGATTAATTTTCTTGAGGAACAAGGGATGGATATATCTAAGGTGACAGTGGTCGGCCACTCTCTAGGCGCTCATATCGCCGGATTGTCGTCTCATTACGCAAAAAAGAGGGTGGATTTTGTTGTCGGTAAGTCCATTTAGCCATATTGATATTTACAATCCAGTTCTAAATGTAGAGTTCAATACGTACGAATTTCAATAGAAAATTAAATGGAGTTCAGAAATCTCTAATTTTTCAATACGATATGAACCTTCGAACAATTTTATTGTAACACGATTGTCGATAGTAAAAGTAGTAGTCAATTTCTGAATATGTACATTTATTTATCGACGTTTCTGCCTGTGCTGAAGGTCTTCTAAATATTGCAGTAAAAACATACGAAACTAAAATGAATACAATATAAATGGAAATCAAATGCATTATATTTAGAATAGATTCTAATGGAAAATGAACGCCTCTTCATAATCTTATTTCGACAAAAACGTATATTATTTCCTTCGTTTTATTCAAGGTGCTACCACAGTATTATTACCCTATATATTTCTCCCCTATTTTCTCTTTTCTTAGTTTTTAATTTGATTTCTCTCCACATACATCAAACTCCACTCAAACATTCTATCAAACGCGTTGGTTCGATCGTTCCTGTTCTAACAACGGGTTTTTAATATATCCATTTCAAATATGGATTCATATAAATATTTTATTCTCACAACTTACAAAATAGATCCAATATGTTCGTCAAATTAAGTCTTGTACAGTAATTTGTATCAAATATCTCAATACAATATAGACTCTTATTTTATATTTATTTTAATTTTTTAAGTTTTTTATATAATGACCCGAAGAAGACCTTCAACAGATTGGTAGGAAAAAATCTACAATTTCAGAAGTTGCTTCTACTACCAAAAAAGAGTCGCCAAACATTTTTCACACTGCATAGTTGCACGAATAATTATTGAACAGTTCTGCGATTCACGATACGTTGATAACTAGACTTAATGAAATGGAAGCTTTGTAGAGGGTTGTCCCAACCCCAAAATATAATAATTCGTATCATACTTGAAGTATTTCTTATATTTTTGCATATCAAGTGCATTCTGTAGTTTTGTCGGACTCAAAATTTCCCATTAATTCATAAACATCCTCAATCTATCGATAACGGTACAATCTCATCAACTAGCACATTCTAGTAGCTAATCTTGCGGTATCTCTTGATCTAATCCGTGTGGCACGATTGCCTCAGGCATCGATTGTCTCCGAATCTTGGTCGATTAGCTGGACAAAATAACTAGTTTGCTTAATTAGGAGTATCATTGCATGACAGGCTATCTCAGGAATGCTAAAACCGTTCTCTTTTTACAGGTCTGGATCCTGCATATCCAAATTTCGAGATTGCAGGCGTGGGCAGCAGGATCGCCAGCGGCGACGCGAATTACGTTCAGATCATTCACACGAACGGTGGTCTTCTCGGTTTCAAGTCGGCGATCGGCGACAGCGATTTCTACCCGAACGGTGGCACTGCGCAAGTGGGATGCACAGTTGACGTCGCGGGGGCGTGTTCACACCTACGCTCGGTTTACTATTTCGCGGAATCTCTCAACAGCAAGTCAGGTTTTTGGGCGTCCAAGTGTCAAAACGTCGCGGATGTCGATAAGCACAACTGCAAAACGAAGCCCGAAGCTGTTATGGGAGGCGCTGTACCTGATTTGAAAGTCAAAGGCGTGTACTACTTGAAGACGTCCAAGTCATCTCCGTATGCTCTTGGAAATTAATGTATTCCCCACCAGCGACATTACGATTTTATATTCGAAAATTCGAAGCGTTACATTCTATCCGAGAGGACTTTGAAGTTAAAACGTGAGTCCTACGACAGTGTATCAAAATTTTTGTACTCAATCCTCGATCGGTATTTCGTTATTTAGCATTCCAGTATTACGTTTTTTATTCAATTTTTACATTACGAATATCAACGAATAATTTGTTTGGGCTAAAGTGAATCCGGAATCTGACGTGCAAGGATTAAATCTCGAACTCTTAGCGACGTGTATTGACATTTCGAAGGTACAACTAGTTTCCACGCTCTGTAATTGTGCATCTTGTAAGGTGATAATGAAAACAGAGGTAAAAATGAATCTACAGTTGTTGCAAGTATTTTTCTGTTGCAATACTTAAAATTGGGTAATTGCGCTTTGATGTACAAAGTAGTATAGTCAGACGAAAGATCTTATGATGGTAAGCTGATAGTATTGTGGGATCGGGAAGATAATGACTCCGCTCTGTTCCGTTCCGCACAATTGTATTGTTGCTGTCGTACAACGACGTGACTCGTGGTGCGGGTTACGCTCGACTCTCTGGTACGATCATCGCCACCGTACCAAGAGGCCTTCAAAAACAAAAGACGGTCAGAGACGACGACAACGGCTTTTCGGCTCACGCGGCTCTGGTCGTCTCGTGTGCAACCATCGTCTCGTGTGCAACCATACATTGTAGCGGCTTCGAACGGCTAAGGCGTATGTGGTGCCTTGGCCGCCACACTACCCCCCTGCCAGTAATTGGCACAATTACGAAAAATTGACCGACTACATTACCACTACCATTTACTCTATTATATAAAATACGTTATCCTAACTAAGATTTACATTACAGTATTTGAACACAGTTGAAAAAAAAAAGGAATTTACATGGAGTTTAATATATAATACGTAATACCCAAAAATACATGAAAGTACATAAAAGTGATGGATAAAAATAAATGGTATATGATACTTATTATAATAATGCGCAAGCCTTAAGTACTACCGCGTAATTTGAAATCGCTCGGGAAAACGTACGCGTCTACCTGAACGCGTAACACGTTGCTGTATAACCGGCGCATTGTCAGGTACGTTTGTTTGTGTGACCGGCTGATTTTCTATGCTCACGGGATCCGGTCTGTTTTCTGCTAGCATATAAGCAGGCTTTAGCCTTTCAATTGATATATTTATTTCCTTACCTCTAATGTTTATTGTAAATGTTTTTTCGCCTCGGCGCACTACGGCGTATGGACCTTCATAAGCGGGTTGTAAAATAGTTTTGGCTGAATCTGTTCGGATGAAAACATGTGTTGAACTGCTAAGATCTTTGAAAACGAATGTACGATTAACGGAATGGCGTGATGCATTAGAGGGACTCAATTTAGAAAAATGGTTGCGTAGTCTATTAGTAAAATCGGAAGCATTTTCTGTGCCTTCCGCTGAATGCGAAGACAAGAACTCTCCCGGTAATCTTAATGGCTCGCCATAAACTAATTCCGCTGAGGTAGCGCCGAGGTCTTCTTTCCAGGCGGAACGAATACCGAGTAGAACCGTCGGAAGTATTTCTGTCCACCTGTCGGATCCGTGGCACCTTATAGCCGACTTGAGCTGTCGGTGAAAACGCTCTACCATCCCATTGGCCGCTGGGTGATACGCCGTTGTGCGAAGGCGTGTGGATCCAATTAAATTGTTCAGCGCAAAAAATAATTTGGATTCGAACTGCCTACCCTGATCGGTGGTAATCCGTACGGGAGCACCAAACCGCGCTACCCAACCGTCATAAAAGGTTCGAGCTACGGTTTGGGCCTCCTGATCGACCATGGGGAAGGCTTCCGGCCACCGCGTATATCTGTCTACACAGGTCAGACAATACCTGAAACCTTCGGACACCGGTAAAATTACTATGTCTAAATGAATGTGTTCGAATCGCGCAGAAGGTTTAACAAATGTAGCCAATGGTGCAGTCACATGACGGGAAATTTTTGATCTTTGGCACGGTATACAGCAACGTGTCCACGTGCGAACATCTCTTTTAATCGACGGCCAAACATAACGTTGCGTTATGAGCTTGATCGTCGCGTTAATACCTGGATGTGATAATACATGTAACATATTAAAAACTGCACGTCGGAAAGGAGGGGTGACATAAGGTCTTACATTCTTAGTCGAAATATCGCAAAAAATTTCGGAACACGTGCCAGGCAACAAGACTTTGCGTAATTGCAGGCTAGATTCGCTATTCAACAACCGCTGCAACTCCTCATCCTGGGCTTGCGATTTTGCCAATTCTTCGAAATTAATCGAGTGGTTAACCGTTTCCACTCTGGACAGTGCATCGGCAACGACGTTGTCTTTACCGGAAATATGTTGAATATCTGTAGAGAATTGCGCAATGTAATCTAGGTATCGGAATTGTCGAGGAGAGCATTTATCTAATTTCTGTTTGAAAGCGAAAGTTATGGGTTTATGGTCTGTAAAAATCGTGAAATGTCTGCCTTCGAGCATATGTTTGAAATGTTTTATTGCTAAATAGATAGAAAGTAGTTCCCGGTCGTAAGCTGAATACTTCTTTTCGGCAGATCCTAATTTCTTAGAAAAGAATGCTAATGGTTGTCGTTCGTTGCCGACGCACTGATGTAAAACAGCTCCTACGGTGTAATCAGAAGCATCGCAGGTAACCGACAATGGAGCGTTGACCGCAGGATGAGAAAGCAGGGTTGCGTTTGCTAAACTATTTTTGGTATTTTCGAAAGCCTGACGCGCTTCCGAAGTCCAGGCTATCGAGGTCTTGCCCTTTAAATTGCCGGCTAGAAGGTCGTTCAAGGGTGCTTGAAAGCGAGCGGCATCTGGGATAAAACGGCGGTAAAAATTAAGCATTCCCAAGTACTGCCTCAAATCCTTCGCGTTTTTCGGAAGGGGAAATGACTTTATGGCTTGTACCTTGCCGGGCAAAGGTTGAGTGCCGCTTTCATTTACCCGATAGCCTAGAAATTTAACTTCTTCCTGTCCGAACGTGCATTTATTCGGATTAACAACAATGCCATAATCTTTTAATCGTTTAAATAATAATTCTAAATGGCGCAGGTGATCGGCTTGGGATTCTGAGGCGACCAAAATGTCGTCTATATACGCGTAACAAAAATCGAAACCGCGTAAAATTTCGTCGATAAAGCGCTGAAATGTTTGCGCGGCATTTCGTAACCCGAACGACATGTACGGGAATTCAAAAAGCCCGAACGGCGTTGTAATGGCCGTTTTTCCGACGTCTTCCGACGCAACCGGAATCTGATTATAAGCTCGGACGAGATCTATTGTGGAAAATACCTTTTTGCCACTCAGTTGTTGCGCAAAATCCTCAATGTGACGCACGGGGTATCGGTCGGGAATTGTCCGTGCGTTTAACGCTCTATAGTCACCGCAAGGCCTCCAAGCTTCTTCGCCCTTCTTCGGAACCATATGAAGGGGTGCTGACCACGCGCTCTTCGAAGGACAAGCGATGCCCATCTTCACCATCGCGTCGAACTCCTTCTGGGCAGCCCTGAGCCGGTCCGGTGCAAGCCGCCGCGGCTTGCTGGAAACGGGTGGTCCAGGGGTTGTCTCGATGTAATGCACCGTTTGGTGCGTAGTCCTCATCGGGGTGCCGCTAGGCCGTGTAAGTTCCGGCATCTGCATCAGGAGCTGGTGGTAAACGGTAGTCCCTGCTACTGTCTTCACCGACGGCGTTTCATCCTCGGCTCGTGTTCCGCGGACCGTTAACGACGTGGTCCGATCGACGAGGCGACGATTGCGGATGTCCACCATAAGATCGAAGTGATCGAGAAAGTCTACCCCGATTATGGGTTTTGTAACATCCGCAACCACGAATCGCCACACGAAATCCCGTCGTAGGCCGAGGTGCAGGTTTAACGACACTGTCCCGTAGGTGTTAATTACACTCCCATTCGCCGCCGCCAGCTGGTACTCCGATCTTTCTCGCAATCCGCCTAGCAGGCGGCGCGGAAAAACGCACAAATCGGCCCCGGTATCCACTAAAAATTCCGTCTTCGAGCTGTTGTCTAAGATGAAGAGGCGGCGTGATGCTGGATTTGTGTCGCTGGCCGCCATCAACGACTCCCCAGGTCGTTTCCCTGATCCGTGGCGTTCCAATTGCACGGTGCAACGCACCTCTGCGCGGCCGGACCGAACCGCCAATGGTACCAGCATTTCCCTTGATGGTCCATTTGTCCTCCCGCGGGCCGCTCTCGCGATCGCGATAGAGATCGTCTGCGGTAGCGCGAGTTTGGATGATTTCGGTGGGTCCACCTGCGACGGGAAGATTGCCCCTGGTCCACCAAGGATTCACGGATGGCAGAAATTTCCTGCCTCAAGGAAAGAGCCAATTGCGACATCTTAATGTTTAACATGGCCTCGATGTTCGGGCCCGGCGGGGGTATTTGGCAGGATGCAGATACGCCCGTAATCGCGGCCTCCGTGACGTGTACCCGCGGTGTCATCGTATCCGCAACAGCGTCTGCCAACTCTGCCACCTTATCCAGCGGGGTGTCCCGCTGCGTGGCTAAAATCACCTGCATATTAGCAGGTAGTCGGCCCATCCAAAGCGTCCGCAATACACCGTCCGAAAAAGCCGTACCGGCCAATCCGCGCAGGTGACGAAGAAATTGGGACGGTTTTCTGTCCCCGATTTCCTCGTGTTCCAATAACCGCCGCGTTTTCTGTTCCTGCGACGCACTAAGCCGGCGAATGAACTCATTTTTTAGCGTCGTGTACGGATCCGCGGCCGGGGGATTCATGATAATGTCTCTTACTTCCGCGGCGTGTCGCGCACTTAACGCGCCGAGAATGTACCCGAATTTCGTGGTCTCCGACGTTACATTGGATACCTCAAAACTTCTCTCTACCATTGAAAACCACATCTCCGGGTCTCCCGGACAAAACTCGGGTATCCGTACAGCGACGCGATCAACTGCCAACGGCACACCCGCGGATGTCCCTGCGTTAACGTTAGGGTCAGTCATTTTACCAGTCTTGGTCACAAAAAAAAATAGTTTCACCGCACACACACACCGCGCTTACTATTTGTCAGACCGTGTCCTTTTCTTATGTCCTTAACACTATACACTTATTTCTCTACCCTAACTAATATTGTCCGTATACGAAAAATGTCCAAATTTTCTTTAAAAAACTTTACTTGCGCGGCGAGATCACGTCGGGGTCACCAATGTGGGATCGGGAAGATAATGACTCCGCTCTGTTCCGTTCCGCACAATTGTATTGTTGCTGTCGTACAACGACGTGACTCGTGGTGCGGGTTACGCTCGACTCTCTGGTACGATCATCGCCACCGTACCAAGAGGCCTTCAAAAACAAAAGACGGTCAGAGACGACGACAACGGCTTTTCGGCTCACGCGGCTCTGGTCGTCTCGTGTGCAACCATCGTCTCGTGTGCAACCATACATTGTAGCGGCTTCGAACGGCTAAGGCGTATGTGGTGCCTTGGCCGCCACAGTATCATTATGTGGCATTTATATTACACTGGTTTTCATCACAACTACGAGTCTGTTACAAATTTTTACAAAATGTTCGAATCAATGTGATTTCTGTCAAAAAATATCAGTAGGATAAGAACTCATATTGTGAAAATTCAAGCAAATTACGCCGAATGCAAATTAACTAAACTAATTTGATAAATTGTTTTATATACGACATCCTAACAACTGTGTAGAGCAATGAATGTATATAGAACCCGAATCGATAAATCAGGAAAATACAACTATCGTTTTTTTAACAAATTCTTATGTACTTTATTATTTATCCCGCAATCCCTTCAAACTCTTGTGAAATATTTTGTGTTTCATTTAGGCAAAAATACACAATATTTAAGGAACTAGAAACCTTTTAATTTGATAAAAAATATTCGTTTTTCTTCGATATTTTTATCGATGAAGTTTGCATGTTAATTACTTATCATAACGTATGATATTGTACCTTGATGTCTTTTGAATCAGTTCCTGTAATATTTACTGTAAAGAACGATATTAAACAATATGTTATGAAGTCTAATATTGTAATGTTTGAAATAGAAATCGAATTAAAGTATACAAAAAAAAATATGGACAAAATATATAAAAGTATATTTTAATATAATATACAAATGCACATTAAAAAAAACAGTTATAGAATTTAATGTAAAATAAATAATATAGTATTGGGTGATTGTAATCAACGACCATCTGAATCTACCCTCGGGCTCTACAGGTAAATATTATTCTTTTCAATTAACCGCTTCAGACACATCTCAATTCAATGTAATAATTGTATAAACAGAACAATATCTTCATAAATACATTAATTGCAACGTTTTTCATTTACGTATACAAAGAATGAGATTTCATTTAACTTTTCCTTTATCAGAGAGGGTGAAAATATTCCTTTAACTTTTAATTTCCCCTATGATTTATTAAAAACGTTGTTAGAATTTTTACAAATAAAGAATACGTAAAACAAAAAAACGTAAAAGCTCAAGTTTTCATTATTTGCATTTAATGAATGCGTTTAATTAATAATGTGCACGGTAAAACGTGTTTTATTACTAATAACAGCAAAGGACAACTCACGTGACCTGGGCAACCCAACGTGGTAGTCTACGTCAGTAAAATAAGCAGGATTAGGGTTAATTGAAGTAAATTTGTAGCTCGTATTCGATACTCGACATGTTGACGAGATATAAATATTGTTGGTGCAGTTATATCCTTGACTCGAAGGCGCTCGCTCGGCGTTGGCGCTCGGTACAGTATCGATTCTAATTCGATCTTGATATCGCGACAGTAACAATCGCGATTTTTAATAAAATAGTTACTTAGAAAGTCCGGAAAACTATCACAGAAAATATATTTTCGCAGTTTGAGTCCACCTGCGCCGAAATTACACGTGAATTCGTGGATTTAACGAGAGTGACTTTCTAGTTAGTAAATTGGTGTTATAAACTAACTCGTATTAGTTGCAACGATTAGCGGTAGAAAATTGCAATTAATGAATTTGTTATTGACTGCACGTTCGAGATAACGTAAATATTTAATTAATCAGTAAGTGCATGAAGAAGTGTTTAATTGCTCAGAAAACTCGTGCCGGAGTTGGGCAAATTGTATTCATGAATAATAAATAATGATTCGCAAGATTGGTAATTTCCATTTAAGTTTTAATCGTAAATTCAATTCAAAGCTTTCGTTGAAAGAAACTATTCGTTATTCGCGAATAAAATTTATTCAACCTTGATTGGCCAACGATATAAATAGATGACACAAGCCTGAAAGTCGCGATTCAATTAAAAAGATAATATTTTTATAATTGTTTGGTTAATCCAACGTATGGAAGATTTCGTGCACGCGCTTAATTAATTAATAACGTGTGTGGTATTATGAGAATCCGAACGTGTATTAATACAGAATAGTCAGGAAAGCAGTAGAAAGCATTGTAGTCGCATTGGTTGAATGTTCCTCCAACACAGGCGGATTTTCATCCTTAGCCGGGAATAGAGGACTCTGCAGTCACAAAATTAGAATAATGACTGCAGAGGATTGTTACTCTGTTTGACTGAAATTTTCGATGGTTGTCAAAAGTTTTTTCAATAGTATCTTTTTTAGTAAATATTAACTATAGAACATGAATACTTTAACACTTTTTTACGACAACTTCGAAATGGTGAAATAAAAAATTGAAACTTCCGTTTAAAAGAATTAAATGTGGTCTCGACGTATTTCTAAATGATTATTTATTGTCATTCACAATTATCCAAGCAAACCTAGACACACGTGGAACATCTTCCATTTCTATATCATGCAACGTCTATGCACAATTCCAAAACAATAGTTACACTTTATCTTTTTATTGCAACTAATGTAACGATCAATTTAGTTCGATCTAGGGACATCAAGAAACTCAAAATGGGTAACTCCAGCATAGACGAATCAAGAATGAGGTTGTTCTTCCTGAGTTGTTTCCTGCTCATTTGCAGCGTTAACGGTAAACATAATATTTGTTTTACATAAACTGTCACAAAATAATCCAAAAATCAGCACATTGAGTATTTCTTATTTTTAGAAATATGAACAAATTTTATGTACAAAAGTTATATAGAACTGAGCACGTCATAAGATGACTATAATAATTTTTTGGTGGGTAAAGAGTTTTTGGAAATTTCAAAATCATCTCTATTTTTAGAACAGCACTATTTTGTTTTCGTCTTTAATACATCAGCGAATATTTAGACAATTTCAACTATATCGATATAGAATAATACAATCAATGCTTCCCATGTCATTAGGGATGCATAAAGTGGCATATATGAAGCGAAGAACCATTGCAACATACCATACAATCAAATCAGAAAAGATAATAATTATGTTTTATTTGTTTATTTCACATGGAATTATTTTATATTATAAAACGTTGAACTCGTCTATACATCTGTTATTGTACTGAAAATATCCAAATATAACGTATCGTTTAAAAAGAAGAGGTGATTTTAAGATCTCCATATACTTATTTCATGTGACTTTTGTACAGAATGTCTGTTCATATTTATAAAAATAACGAAGATATTCAAAGTGGTCAAAGTTATCATATTTTCGAACATCCTTTTACGAAGCATTACAACTTAGTTTTCACTATAATATCTGTTAGAAAAGGAATGCTGCAACAAAAATTGTCAAACCAAACCTCGATATCAGCTATTATTCAATGTTTTACTTGCACAACAATTCACTACGTCCAAATTCTCTAAAAACTCTAAAATTAGTTCAGTGACATAAAAATACGATTTGCAGGCTTTACGTTGCCAGATATGATAGAAAACATCACATCTGCTGCCGAGAATATCCAAAATGTCACAGATGCTGTCCAGGACGCAACATCGAATATGGACTTCGATGTAACCCTATCAGTGTTTGACGACGACGGAAATATTGTCAAGTTAAACTTCAGTACAGATTATACAGAGATCGAAAACCGATTTAACAGGGGCTTGGAGGACAGTGTACTATTTTACTTGTACACAAGATTAACGCGGAATAATCCTGAGCGTTTGTACGTCAACAACGTCAATGCATTGAGAGGAAGTCATTTCGCGGCGTGGAAACCAACAAAAATTGTCACGCATGGGTGGATGAACTCCTACCTGGCCAAATCTGTCACCTTGGTTCGAGATGGTATGTACTGTGCGTCTGTGAGAAGTTGACTAGCGGAAGGGCACAGGGGACAGGGGAATACTTCACCAATCAAATCCACATTCCTTTCGCTAGCCAACTTCTCGCGAACACAGTACTTCTCTGCTATTTAAGTTCTTCTTTTACTATTATCACTTTAGCTACCGGTAAATGTTAACCCTAGGCTAGAATATATGCTTCTTCTTACACCTATAGAAACGTTAAATCATTTGTGAAAATGCTCACGGTATTGTTTTGTTATAGGGTAATTAAATCTAGTAAAATTTTTTATTCTCATAACCACTGATTAACGCATTGACTACCACGTCACCCATATATGGGTGACATGATTCTTCACTAAGAAAATAAATCCGGATAGAAGTCTTGAATTTTAACGGATCTGTGAAAATAAATGCAATAACGAATGACGAGTAAGCTAGTTTCCAGTTGTTTAACAACAAAGTTTCGTTTCCCTGGGCAATTTGAGGGGTTTGGTCTGGCAGTCAACGTGTTAATAGGCTACCGGTCGATGAAGTGTTAAATAATTTTATACTTTGAATGACCATTTTCTTGTTCACAAGTTCCGTGAGGATTCTCGTTTGTTTAATCAGCGTTCCTTATCTTTCCAGCTTTCCTGCAACACGGTGACTACAATGTCATCGCGGTGGACTGGGGCACAATAGCAAAGACGCCATATATTTGGGCCAGTAATCGAGTCTTGGCGGTTGCCAAGTATATCTCTTCCATGATCGATTTCCTCGAGACGCAAGGAATGGATGCATCCCAGTTGACAACAGTCGGCCACTCTTTGGGCGGTCATATCGCCGGATTGTCGGCCCTGAATGCAAAAAGCCAACCGAAATACGTAGTCGGTAAGTTCACTCCGCCATACTGATCTTGGTATGCTTGTCGTTTACGTTCGTATCCAATTCTGAGTGTTTAATACCAATTTCACTCGAGTGTTCTCCGTTCGAGAATCGTAGATGCACAATTTCGTCCTGCGTTTACGAACGTGGGTAAAATCGGGATACATTTACGTACAGAGCTTCATAGTTAAATACATTTATCATCAAGCTATCAGAAATTCAGAGCTGACAGGCTCGGGACTTCCGTTATATTCATCTCGAACACTTTTTAATGCGTATACCTCTTCAAATCTCTTTCTTCCAACGTTTCAACTTCACAATCAATTCTTCTGGTTCCACAGAAGTAAATCCATTCGTCCATATATGGGTGACTTGGCAGTCAAAGTGTTGAGAGTTTCGAGTAGTTATGGATAATTGCATCAAGACTTTTATAGGTTTGGATCCAGCTCTTCCAAACTTCTGGACTGCCGATTCGGGCAGAAGGATTTCCCGCGGCGACGGAAAATACGTGCTGATTATCCACACGAACGCTGGTCTTCTCGGGTACAAGGCTCCGATCGGTGACATCGACTTTTATCCAAACGGCGGAAACACGCAGACCGGATGCGACCTCGATGTCGTGGGCGCGTGTTCGCACTCTCGCGCCATCTATTACTTCGCAGAGTCCATCAACAGCGTCTCAGGTTTTTGGGGAGTGCGTTGCAACGACCATAAGATATTCAAAGCAGACAACTGCTTGTTGGGGTCCAGAGTTCTCATGGGTGGAATTGAACCGAACATACACGCTACCGGCGTCTACTATTTGGAAACGGCTAGAACGCCCCCATTTGCTATAAGACTTGCAGATCATTCATGATCGAGAGCATAGTGCTTTCTTTTTTCAAACTTAAAGTTAGGAATTTCTGTCTTGGTAGAAACATAGACATTGTCGCGTCTCAATACGTGATTTACCGAGAAAAAGAAACTCGTTATTAATTGCAAGTTAAGTTTAACGCACGGCTTTCTTCCATTTTGCTGGTCAAAAATGATGTATTTTATGTAATTATTGCGTGGTCTAAATGTAACATATGTAGGCTATTTCAATTTAATTTAAAGACTAAGTGTTATATAAAATTCTCAGAGAAATCTCGAAAATAAAATTACTTTCTTCTTGGCACTTACTTCACGCTTTTGTGAAATCCATGTGAAACTTTACTCACTGTTATTTAGTGAAATGATGGTGAATGTAAATTACATAAAAGCTTTGTAGTCTGATTACCAAAACGTGTATATCTCTAGTGTCTTTTACTATCATCATGTTATATTTAGGATCCATATGCCTTAGATAAAGTACATCAAGTGTAATGCTATACCATTAATTCAATTCAACTTTTGCTTTCGAAGTCTCAAAAATTTATGTTTCAGTCTGTTCTTGAATCCCATAAACGTGACACGTGGTGATGAGGCTTGTGGCGATCGTAAGATATTCAAGCCTTTGAAAAGCTTGCACGTGGAGTTCTGCCAAAGTTCAATTGGCAAACCAGAGTTGTTTAAAGAGTGTCTTTACTTATGTTGTATTGCATGTAACGTACTGACGATGATACTGATGATGCGTCAATGCATTTCACGTAGTTGCTGTCAAACTTCCAAACAGTATGTGTCTTTAAATTGCAAATTCTGGTGGCTGAAATGCTACTTGGAGAAGCCAGAAAATTTCCCTTTCTTCATTGGTGCACTGTTACTTCACCATTTCGCACTCAACACTGTGGTCTTCACATCTCAGGTGTGTGGAAAACCCTGATCCAACGGTGGTGTCACTCATTTCATCGACGAGATCCTGAAGCCATTAGCAAATTGTCTTTAAAGCGCCATTGCCTTAAGGACACTAGCTAAATGGTTTTACAAGATGGCAAGTCGGTATTATTAGCGATACACGTGGAATAAATTAGTTGATTGAGTAATTGTCAACGAAACTATACACTGTCATAACTTTTTCAATTGTTAATTCAATTTTCTTATGCCAAGCACGTATTCAGTTCGCTAATATAGATTTTAAAGACAACAATAGAGGTTGTGGCGCTGCTTCGCTGCGGGTAGAGGATCTCGTGAGAATTCCGTAGGAGGGCAGAAAAGGAAAGGAGGGAGCGCGTTTCGTTCGGGCCTGCCAGTGGACTCATCAGTAAGGCTTTCTAGCAGACCCTGCCTTAGACGACTGGGATATTGGGAAGTCGTTCGAGGAGTGTATACATATATAGCAACGGAGGGGTCGGTCAAGCGCTTGTGAGAGCGCGACCCCTCTGGTGGCGAGCATGGGAGGCGACGCCACATTACCCCTCTGCCAGTGCTAACGATACCGGATTAAGTCTACTATTTACAGGACTTATCGAATACTATGTACATTATCTACAGTTGTTCCGTTCCTCTGGGACTTGTCGTCGTCGTCGTGTCTTCGTATAGCGCCTCTATCTCGATTGACGATCACTGGAGATTTTTTCTCTGATCCTGGCTAGAACTTCGATTCTATTGCCGTAGGATATTGCGTGATTTCTGGCTGCTGCGTGGTCGTTCTCTTGATCGTCTGGTGCGGCGAGTCGTCCTCGTGCCTTGCGCTGCTGAAGTCATCGAGCGTATATGCTGCTGTCCTACCTGTGGTCCCACTATGCGGTGCTATTGCTGTTGTTGCTCCGAATCCTGCCAATCTGTGTCCTCCTGGAGACGACGGCCTTGTCAGGTAGATTTGGTCAGGACCGAGCGATCGAGTGAACGAAAGGCCACCATAGGAGAGGGATTACGAAAGAGCTATTGCTGCTATACGAGGTTAGACACGTTGTTTGGCGCTGCCTCCTTCGTCCTACGCTGCGTGCGGGTCTGCGTTTCCTGGAAATTCTCGAGCTGCTTCCTAGTTGTCCCAAATCACGTCGGGGTCACCAATTGTGGCGCTGCTTCGCTGCGGGTAGAGAATCTCGTGAGAATTCCGTAGGAGGGCAGAAAAGGAAAGGAGGGGGCGCGTTTCGTCCGGGCTTGCCAGTGGACTCATCAGTAAGGCTTTCTAGCAGGCCCTGTCTTAGACGACTGGGATATTGGGAAGTCATTCGAGGAGTGTATATACAGGGTGTTCGGCCACCTCTAGCAAAAATTTTAATGAGCGATAGTAGAGGCCAAAATAAGACGAAAATCAAGAATACTAATTTGTTGATGGAGGCTTCGTTGCAAAGTTATTAACATTTAAAGTTCCGCCTGTAGAATGACAATCCGCTAAACAGCTGGTTCGCGCGGACGGTTGCGGCAGGCGAGTGCTAGTGGTTCTCACGCAGCATGAAAAATTCTGCTTACCGACATTATCGACAGCCTTAGATTTTTGTCCACTTATGGGAATGCGAACACCTTACGTTGAATAAGATTCAACCTGTCTTATGAAAATCCAGAAGGGCATATCAAAACTCGTCCGACGAGATTTTCACAGAGAAAGGGTGAATGCCAGTTCCAATACACAATGTTGTGAACAAAAATCACCCACATGCGATTATACACGCCCCACGATTGTCCACAGTGTCCACAAGTATCCACAAATAATCCTTTCAGGCACTAACCACTATGCAATTAAATAAACACGTACCGCGATTATGTTATTCGTGAATGTCTACGTGTACGTGTATCACGATTCTTCCGAGTTACTTACGAATAAAACTGTTATTAATTTTTCAAATACACTTCAATTTAAAAATGTAAACAGGAATTTAATAAGTATTCGCTGATTGTTTATATCACTGTATTTCTTACATGCTACTTAATACATAACTGAAATGTGTCGCGTGAACTAGCTTGACTGATACTGTTTTACGACTGACTAGCTGGCCGAACACGTGCCGATGCTGCCCTTTGTCTCCGCTGTGTGTGAGAGAGATAAGCGAGGCGAGTGACGTAGAATCGGGGCCTGTTCGGCATATGTTTCTCTGAACCTCGTCGATCGATGGCACAGTCAGCTGCTAGTATTGTTACATTCTTCGCCGTGAACGTAAATCGATGCGAAAATTTCATTTATCCTGCGATTCCTTTTTACATTTTTAAATTGAAGTGTATTTGAAAAATTAATAACAGTTTTATTCGTAAGTAACTCGGAAGAATCGTGATACACGTACACGTAGACATTCACGAATAACATAATCGCGGTACGTGTTTATTTAATTGCATAGTGGTTAGTGCCTGAAAGGATTATTTGTGGATACTTGTGGACACTGTGGACAATCGTGGGGCGTGTATAATCGCATGTGGGTGATTTTTGTTCACAACATTGTGTATTGGAACTGGCATTCACCCTTTCTCTGTGAAAATCTCGTCGGACGAGTTTTGATATGCCCTTCTGGATTTTCATAAGACAGGTTGAATCTTATTCAACGTAAGGTGTTCGCATTCCCATAAGTGGACAAAAATCTAAGGCTGTCGATAATGTCGGTAAGCAGAATTTTTCATGCTGCGTGAGAACCACTAGCACTCGCCTGCCGCAACCGTCCGCGCGAACCAGCTGTTTAGCGGATTGTCATTCTACAGGCGGAACTTTAAATGTTAATAACTTTGCAACGAAGCCTCCATCAACAAATTAGTATTCTTGATTTTCGTCTTATTTTGGCCTCTACTATCGCTCATTAAAATTTTTGCTAGAGGTGGCCGAACACCCTGTATAGCAACGGAGGCGAGCATGGGAGGCGACGCCACAAGGTCTTTATGCTTTGTTTTACGATATTGCCTTGTATCAAATTCATTCAACACATTCTCATAGATCATCTACGAATGGAATACAAACACATCGAAGAAAAACAATGAAGCACAAAACGACTATTAAACCTTGTATCTAAGCAGTATCTGTTCGCTATTAAAGAAATTTCCAGAGGATAATCAATAACTATTTCATGACGATTCTGATCCAATTAGAACGTCTCCTTATTAAAGGTTATTTAACACGTGTTTCCAACTCAAAAGCAAAATTCAATTGGTCTAAAGTTGTATAAAAGAAGATCAGATAGGTACCACCAGCATAATAAACTCAAGAAACATGAAGGCACAATTATTGGCTAGTTTGCTGATCATTTGTAGTATCAGTGGTAACCATAATATTTATTTTCACTACTTTCTTCTTTCATTTTTCAGAAATTATTATACTGCATTAATTTTTATACAGAGCAACATGCACTCGTCGTATATTTCTTTGAGGACATTGCATCTTACTTTTCATTTTTAATCATGTACAGTTAGAAAGGAATGCTATAAGAAATTTTAAGATAAAATTCAAATTATCTGCCCATTCTTTTGTACAGTTCAATTTTCGAGGTTTTCAATGCAGAAGTACATCGTTATTAAAAAATTACTTCAGTGGCAAATGTCACTTAACATCTGATGATATTTTACAGGCTCGTACGGAGAACCAGCAGTCTATGATGACGACGGCAATCTTGTTCCACTAAATGATACCGGAGACACAACTGAAATAAATACAACTGAAATAAATACAACTGCAGTACGTAGCGATAACTTGAACCAAACTGTCTTCTTTTACCTATATACAAAAAAAACAAGGAAAATCCTGAGCTCTTGTATCTCCATGATGTCGATGCATTAAAAAAAAGTAATTTTTCAACATCGAAACAAACGAAAATGATCACACATGGATGGATGAACTCTTACAAAACCTCGCAAATTGTCACACTAAGGGATGGTACGTATTTTTATACTTTTGGTTCGGTCCATAAGTACATACTGAGATTTACGGTACAGTTTGGACATTTTGAAGAATTTTCCTTCGTTATTCGATGTGAATGAATCAATTTATAGTGTATTACCAATATTCGTGGTATTTTAACTTGGTCATTTATTCTTAATTTACTTGGATCTATTTTATACTCTTCAGTTTTGTTACGTGATATTCTTGCAGATCAAAAATCTTCTCTTGAACTCACCGTTGATACATCACTCAATAGCTTTTGTTTTCTATTTTTGAGTTTTGATGAAATTGTATCGATGATAAAAATAGTTCTGGTTTGAAGCATATCGAACATATTTTATTGTATGATGCTGATACAATAGAACAGAAATGGATTTCACGATTCCAAAAAAACAATTTTGCGTAAATAATGAGACGAAATTTTGTCAACTATCTCAGTTGTATAAAGAACGCTTGAATGTTTAGTTGTGTAAAAAATCATAACGATCAACTGGTGTAGTAGTCAAAGAGGTGGATTGTTCTCAATGAAATCAATGTACAAACTTAAGAACATGAATGAAATATATCAACATAATACTCAAGACCTTTGATATTCTGCATCTCACGGTTAATTATTCAATTTAGTTTTACAGCGACAAAAGGATAATTTAAAAGATTGCACAGAATCAGTGGCTCGAATTTTGTTACTTTGTTATATTTTTTTATATTCACATTCTTGTACATGACAAATTCCGTAAGCAACAAGCATTTAGGATGTTCCACTTGTTTAATTAGTGTGCACAATTGTTTCTAGCTTTCCTTCAAAAGGGAGACTACAACGTCATCGTGATAGACTGGAGTAAACTATCGAAGACGATATACCCTTATGCTGTTAAACAAGTAATAACAGTCGGCAAATATGTCTCTTCTATGATCGATTTCCTCCAGAAACAAGGAATGGATGTATCTCGGTTGACAATAGCCGGTCATTCTCTGGGTGCTCACATTGCCGGATTGGCGGGCCATTACGCGAAAAGCAAAGTGAAATACATTGTCGGTAAGTCCACTCAAGCATATTCATCATAATTTGCACGACGTTTACGTCCGTATACAATTCTGAACAGAGTATTTACATACGAGATTCAAAAAGAAATTGTGGTAAAAATTGTCATAAACTGCATGAGAGTTCCTCGTACAAAAGTTAATTGAAAACTCAAAAATTCGAGTTTAGTCAGTAGGGGCTGTCATTTATGCCGTATTTGTGAATATAGTACTCTATATATAAATGCATTCACTAGAGAACTACAGAAAATTTCATACTTTTTCCTCTTTCTACATGTACAAAGTTTTCATTATATTTAGACTTGACTTTATATTTTAACACTGATTCTATAAGTTTAATTGAAATGTATCTCAAAAGAAATTCTCAGTTATATGAGGATATTATTGACTGTATCTTCAACTACGATCGAATACCTGATGTAAACTTAGTAAGAAATGGCGACACTTCCCGCACTTGCCAACAGAGGGCTACGCGCAACTTAACTCTCTCACAAGTACTCGACAGGCTACGTATTCCTAGATATACATTCCTCTTACTTCTCCCCGCGCAACCAGCCGCCACTATGTTAATTATACCACGAATAGCGACGATAATAATTTTATAATAGAGTTTTACTTGTATAGAAGAAAATTTCGTTACCGTTGGGCATTAAAGAAGATTAAATATCATTTATAAATATATAATTATGCCAATAAATCCTGCCAATGCGAATACTCTATTCAATAATATGGTGTAGTTCTAAAATATTACGTGAGAAAAGCAAAATTTCTTTGCAGGCTTGGATCCAGCGCTACCAAGGCTTGACAATACTGAGCCAGGTGAAAGGATTGCCCGTGGCGATGCAGAGTATGTAATGATTATCCATACAAATGCAGGTCTTCTTGGTTACGTAAAACCAATCGGTGATATCGACTTTTATCCTAACGGTGGCTCCAATCAAAAGGGTTGTATGCTTGATTTGGCTGGAGCGTGTTCCCATTATCGTGCGGTTCTTTACTACGCAGAGTCAATTAATAGTCAAACAGGCTTTTGGGGAAGGCTTTGCGATAGCTACGAAAATTACAAAGAAGGTGACTGCAATTCGGAGCCCCAAACTCCTATGGGCGGCATTGTGCCAAACCTCAGAGCCTTTGGCTCGTACTACTTGGAGACGTCTGGACGGTCTCCATATGCTTTAGGACATTGAAAGATTCATAATCTATATCGTAGTGTTTACCTTCTCTTAATCTGAAGGTAGTAGTTCAGTTGTACTAAAGATATAAACGTTGCAACGGAGAAACTGATGGAAACAGAATTTCAATTCTTTTTATTTTCAATATCATGTCTTGAAGATCGAAGACTCGGTTGTTTTTTTAAATAACATAAACAAGCGATTGTAGTGACGTCCTCTGATACTATGACCTAACGTGATTTACTTACGACGGTCTGATGTATGCTCACAAGAATAAAAAAACAGAAAATACCGAGTTTAAATTATGCATTTGATATATTTTGTGTAGAACATTGTATATTCTGGATGTATTGTCAACGAGACTTGTTATTTTAATTACTGTCTCAAGATTTGTGTGAAATTTTCAACGAGGCCCGAAAATGAATCTAGTTAATCCTTAACAAATTTTCTTCGCGCTTGTTCCTTGTAATTCAGAAAAAGTATCTTCAAAAAGGAAATATTTCTCACGATGATTATGAATTGTATGATATCGAAGAAAATAAAAGTTGTTGATCCTGAAGTACAAATATTTGTGCTTTTTTAACCTTTTTTACTTTATTTTAATGAATGTGTAATAAGAGAGGCGATAAAAGAGATTTTCTTATAGTTCTTCAGAAAAACGATTGAATGGAATTACAATAAGGAAATTTTTATGGTCTCAAGCCGAATTGCATCTGATGTCGTCCAAAAATAAATATTGTTTCTGTTTTAAAATCTATGTTTCACGATTTTGATTAAATTGTAATATGTGTAATTAAATTTTTTAATTTTAATGAACTGCAGAAAAATTGATTCTATTATATTACAGATATCGTTTTCATATCGTTCAAATCTATATGATTTCGACCTAATTATATTTCTTGTAGGTGAATGCATTGAAGTAATAGGGAGGTTTGTTTCCGTAAGTAGATGTTTCCATTGTATATTTTTTAACATAACTCAATCTAACTCAATGTCATGTACAAAAAAGTAGTAAGGCAAGTAATGCTGAAAAATCATGCGTCTAGAAGGTATTTGCATTCCGATATTGCGAAACGATGTTTACTTTCTTAACACGTTTCTGTTTGCGAATAATGGCAGCAGCTGGCACCCAATGACACGAGCAAAGCACAAAAAAGTATCGAAGGTCGATTTCAAATGACACATGCACTCCAATATGTAGAACATAGTCAGAGAAATTAAATATTTTATTCGAGTAATAATAGAATTCGACTACCCCTAAGAAAAATTTTAATGAGGCATTCTAGAAGCCAAAATAAGACGAAAATCAAGGATACCAATTTGTTGATTGAGGCTTCGTTAAAAAGTTATAGAAACATTTCCGACCACACAGTATATTTTCGATGAAGAATTTTTTTCTCGAAAATGAGTAGGAATTCGGGGGTATGTCTACTGGCCAAAAATGATTATAATTGACCCCTGAAACCAAATATAATTTTTCCAGAACGATTTGAAATTTTTTAATTTTGTCGAAGAATTTGTCTACCTACTCGAATTTTTTTCTCGAATGTGTGTAGTATTTCGAGGGTATGTGTATTCACCAAAAATTATTATAATTGACCCCCTCAACCGAAAATAATTTTTCCAGAACGATTTGAAATTTTTCTTTTCACCGAAAAATTTGGACACCTGTCGATGTTTCTTAAAAATTCGTTTTTCATTTTTAATAATTTTGTTTGTCGCCCTACAGAAGTTTTGTCTAATACTTTTTTGTAGGTGCCCATGAGCTCTACTTCAGAAAAAAGTTTCATTGAAATATATTGACTATCGCAGGAGTTATGGCAGTTTGAAAATTGGACCATTTTTATGGGGGTTTTCTCACTTTCCGGGGTTAAGGAACAATTTTTCAGAAATTCTTGGAATCTCTACATATTCTATACCAAAATACGCGTCGTTTGCAGTTTTTTAAACATTAAAATCGTCCAATCCGTTCAGGAGTTATGATGTTTTAAAGATTTGCATGGGCAAAGATTTCTGGCCAGAAATTATATGTTCGGAGAGGAATTTTTTCCCCGAAAGTGTGTAGGAATTCGGGGGTATATCTAATGACCAAAAATTATTTTAATTGCCCCCTACAACTGAAAATAATTTTTTTAGAACGATTTGAAATTTCATTTTTCGCCGAAAAATTGCACAGCTACTCGATGATTTGAAATTTTTTGATAACTTTTTAACGAAGCCTGAATTAACAATTGATATTCTTAATTTTCGTCTTATTTTGGCCTCTAGAATCTCCCATTAAAATTTTTCCCAGGGGTGGCCGAACACCCTGTATTTATCTATTATTCTGAAATATTTTCTCTTCAATTAAAATTTTGATTTTTATTGTACAAGTAACTAATAAAACATTGATTAAACCGAGAGACATCGTCACGGGCATTATCGGGTGATCAACAAGGCCTCAAACTTAAATACACAATCCAGATTTGAAGCGGATTAGCTGGGCAGCCTCCATCATCCGGAGCACCACGTCCCCTTTCTGGATCCTAGTGTTATCAGTGACGTCACTGCTGACTCGAACTAGGAAAAACCAATAGCAGCGATTGCTATCATTTGCAAATTGAGCTAGTTCATCCTCAACATTTCCCTAGAAACATTCTAGAAAGGACAATGTTAAGTCATAGAGGGGTTTACTGACCCAAGAGCGTACAGCCTATGCTATACACCGTTGGAAAGGTCTCGCCAAGGCGAATCGACTGATACCGTTTTTAACTTCGATATCAGATGGGATCATGTCGAAAAATGGCCTTAAAGTTCGAGATTTTGCGGTTTTGAACAAAAGAATCCGGTCGTAAAAGCCCATCCGGCCCGAGGGACCTCGGGTAGGCACCTGAGGGAAAACCGAGCGGTGTAAGCGATACTCTAGCAGATTGGGACGGCAAATGTGCCCCACCACCTTCATTTCAGTGCCGTGTTGGGCCTGCGTTTGCCGCATGGGCCCCGTTCGAAATGCCCAGGGCGAAATCGCCAATGGATCAGTTGTTTTTCATGAACATAATATATTCATGATAGACGATTCGCAGGTATAAGTTGGGAATGTGCAGGTTAGTATTCAGACTAATGCGTCACTTACAATAGTGAATGGAGTGACATTTTATTGATTGAACGAAACATAATGATGTGAATACTGAATACTAACCTGCACATTCCCAACTCATACCTGCGAATCGTCTATCATGAATATATTATGTTCATGAAAAACAACTGATCCATTGGCGATTTCGCCCTGGGCATTTCGAACGGGGCCCATGCGGCAAACGCAGGCCCAACACGGCACTGAAATGAAGGTGGTGGGGCACATTTGCCGTCCCAATCTGCTAGAGTATCGCTTACACCGCTCGGTTTTCCCTCAGGTGCCTACCCGAGGTCCCTCGGGCCGGATGGGCTTTTACGACCGGATTCTTTTGTTCAAAACCGCAAAATCTCGAATTTTGAGGCCATTTTTCGACATGATCCCATCTGATATCGAAGTTAAAAACGGTATCAGTCGATTCGCCTTGGCGAGACCTTTCCAACGGTGTATAGCATAGGCTGTACGCTCTTGGGTCAGTAAACCCCTCTATGACTTAACATTGTCCTTTCTTTAACATCGATCCACGATTTTCGACAATATTATATGTAAGCTCTATGTTGCACTTAGCTTCTTGTGAACATCCTATATTTTGTTTGTTTTGTTTTATTTTCACCCTTATTATTTAATATCTAAACCTATGTATTCACCAGTGTACTGTTCATGTCATTGTCTTAGTAAACATTTCTTAAATATTCCCAAATGGAATTGATTGAAAATTTAGTGGTTTAATAATGAAAAAAAATGCGATTCTGCGATAGAAATCTTTGTTCACTATTCCTATCGTCTTATCGAAATTGCTTCAAGAATTTATTTCAATGACTATCGAGTTGAACATTTTTCTTAATCAACGTACTGCTATCAAGGAAGAATTATTTACCACAGGAAATATTCCACATCATATCAATGACATTTCGATTTCAATTTTAGCAAAGAGCCTTGCTACGTGTTCTAGCTTCAGATACCATTTTAAAAAAGCAATATACCGCGAAATATTCGCAAATAAAATACACCTGTTATTTTAAAGCTGCTGAACCGATAAGCTGCATTAACGGAAAGCCTTCAAATCAACTTTTACTTAACGATCCAGTTAACAACATTGATAAAACTGCTATCGCGATCATTAAAACTTCTTACATAACCAAGAATAAGACAAACCGAAACGATAACGCTAAATTTAGAAACTTCTGTTCGTAAATAGTTAAATGGAATTAGGTCAACTATTCTCATCTTTCGAAAGAATTTTTCAGAGTCAAATAAGACACACGTTTATATGAACTGTTATTATTATTTGCTTGTATAGAACTCATATCTGAAGTGGATCTCACATGCTACGAGACACTCTGTATAACGATTTTCATTTTCTTCGTTACTAATTAACAAAAGAAACAGTTCACCAAATTTAATACATTTACTAATTCTAGGATTGCAACTTCTCCATTGTACCATTTAACTAATCACCGATTTAGAGAAACATCTTTCAACTAATATATCTTATAATATACACATTAAGTTCTATGCTATCATCGACATCTATATTATTTCGTTTCCTTTTAATAATTTAATAGTGGATATTGAATCTAACGGAACACGATTTAAAATCGTTTGCATCAATTTGATGGGTGACAGTTGTATGACCGTTCAATCACGAACTAGTGACACATTGAAGGGATTCGATGTACTACTCCGGTTTCTCTTGATTTCAAGAGTTCATATACTTCCTGACCAGTTTAAGTAAAACACAATTAATGTACAAAATGTAAACAAATTAAAAAAGATAGTCCTATCAAGTGTAATTAATTACGAAGAGGAAAGGTTACTACTTCTTTAGTTTTTCTAGTTAGAAGAAAAAGGAAAAGCGGAAAAACACGTGTCGATTACTTACTACGATAGATCACAAGCTAGGTATGTTTGAATACTCACAATAGCTGCACCGATGATAGACGAATGTAAAGAAATCTGGAACAAATTAAAATAAATATAAGATTATTAAACATAGTATACGTTGCAGCGTAACAGTAAATTCATAAAGCCAGCGGATATAGAGTCACATTTTTCATGAACAATCAAGGTTTTTGCTTACAACCTAGTGTCCCTAAGGCGGCTATTTAGTTAGTAAATTCGCTTAAAATCTGCATGACCCTCCAAAACCAGGCGTTCTATGACTTTACTACCTGCAATAGGATCGACGATCGGTGCCAGATATTTTATGACCGGACTCAGGTACCGCGCGAAACATTTGGGCACAAAGCGCTGACCTGGGCCCGTAGCCTCCTCACGGAAATACCCGGGCCCCCAAAAATGATTAAAAACCACCGTTATATGCCACCGACCAACTTTGTCGCCAAAATGATTGGTCGACGTATCAGCAATGTAAACCCAATCAGCAACCGATATTTTCTCCCATGGCCTTGGGTACGTCCATGGCGAGGTTACCTTTTTGGGCGACCTTGGCCCAGAGATCAGATTGAGTCTAAAAATCAAACGAACAACACTGAGAAGAGCACAGAACACGAACAAACAGAAGACTTCATTTGGTGGATACATCATCTTGGGGCCCCCAAGCGTATCAGCATATCACCACAAAACAGTATACAAGAATTTGAGATTATAGACTTTAGAAGCACAAGAGCACATAAGAGGTAAATTTAGAAATTTGAAACCACATATAAAAGTATGTCAACCCAGACCTACATTTGCATATATCGAAAATCTGCAAAGTAACATCACTCGACATCTGTTCGCTAATTTTATCATTTTATTCAAACAAATACACTGATACAACTAATTAGACTACGGCTTTATATAAGAACATCAAACAGGCATCAATCGTTCAATTCAATCAGGAATCATGAAGGCATACATCTTAACTAGTTTGTTGCTCGTCTGCACTGTCAGCTGTAAGTACAATACTTATTTTAATTTCCTTTACCCATTTTCCATAAATTTTTGTAATAATTAGTATACTAACGTTGCTCATCAATTTGAAAGTATTATATCTGGATTTTCATTTTTGATCGTGAAAAGATACGAAAAAATGCTACAAGGATTTTTTTCCGTTCTTCTATACAGTTTAATTTCCCGACATTTTCTACGCAGAAATGGAATGTCGAATAGTGTACTATAATTGAAAGATGACTTTAGTGACAAATTCTATTTATCATGTAACGATGTATACAGGTCATCCACGTTCCTTCGGACCTCTGGCAGTGTTTGATGACAACGGCAATCTTGTTCCATTAAATCCTAATTCAACCGTTGTCAATCCAGATAGACCTAACGATAACTTGAACCAAAGTGTCTTCTTTTACCTATATACAAGAAAGACCAAGGAAAATCCTGAGCTCTTGTATCTCGATGATGTCGATGCATTAAAAAAAAGCAATTTCTCAATGGTGAAACCAACGAAAATGATCACACATGGATGGATAAACTCTTACCAAAACTCGCACATTGTCACAATAAGGGATGGTACGTATATCTTTATACTTTTGGTTCGGTCCATATGTTCGTGCGATACTCAGTTCATACCGAATGCAACGTTTGATTATTAGCTATGTATAATACAAGATACGATAGCTTTTGTTTTCTATTTTTGGATTATTATCAAATTATTCGTGGTATGCAAATAATGAAGATAATTGCGAACGAAAACATGCCCGACATATTTTACTGTACGCTTTTAATTATGATGCGAGAAGCTTATCGTGCATGCAGAAAACGAAAAAAATGGTTTCCAATATTCGAAACATTTTTTGCTGTAAATGATACGTCGCGATGCCATTGACTATCTCAGTTCTCTAACAAAAATTTGAAAGCTCTGCTATGTGGAAAATCATTTCGTTCATCTGGTGAAGCAGTCAAGATGGTAGATGGTGCTCCACTGTTTGAAAATAATGGAATTACAGAACAAACTTAAGAACATGAATGAAATATAACACGAACAAGTGGACCAATTTAATATTTAAGATCTTTGACACTTGGTATCTTAAGGTCAATTTTCCAATTGCTTTTTATTTAGAAATTACATAGAATCAGTTGCTCCAATTTCGTATTGCAGTTAAATTTTTTATGACTACATTAGTATACATGACAAATTCCATGGACAACAATGATTCAAGGCATTCCACTCGTCTAATCAGTGTTTCCAATCGTTTCTAGCTTTCCTCGAAAACGGAGACTACAACGTCATCTTGATAGACTGGAGTAGAATATCGAAAACGCCATACTCGTATGCCTCTCATCAAGTAATAACAGTCGGCAAATATGTCTCTTCTATGATCGATTTCCTCCAGGAACAAGGAATGGATGTATCTCAGTTGACAATAGCCGGTCATTCTTTGGGTGGTCACGTTGCCGGATTGGCGGGTCATTATGCAAACAGCACAGTGAATTACATTGTCGGTAAGTACATATCGATCATGATTCACGATATTTAGGCTCAAAAAGAAATTATGTAAAAATTATCATGAACTGCCCGGAGTGTTCTTCATAGAGAAGTTAGTTAAAAACATTTGGGATTCATCAATAGAGGCTACCGATGCCCATTTATGCCGTATTTATGAACATAGAATCAGAATATGTTTATGCATAGTACTGTATATGTAAATGCACTCACTAGCAAAGCATGGGAAATTTCACACGATTTCCTCTTTCAGTTGTAGAAGGCTTTCAATATATTTAGGCTTGAGTATTGCCGCCATATGACTTTGCATATAAATATTGATTCTATAGATTAATTCGAACTACAATACGGATGTTCGTGCATTACATTAATCATGAAACCAGGTCATTTGGAAAATAAATTCTCGGTTATTTTGCGACATTTTTAATTTAGTATAAGGCTAGCAACCTCAATGGGAAAAATTGTAGTATTCTTGGGCATTACAAACACTTAACTGCCATTTAAATATATAATTACTAGACTGCGGATGTTTATTCATTTATGTGAAATTTAAATTCTGAAAAAACTACACAATGCATTTAATATGCAAAAATAAACTGCGAATTGAAATATTTAAGGGTTGAGACAACCCTCTACAAAGCTCTCGTTTCATTAATTCTATTAATAAAAATATGAATTTGCATGAAGATCCGTAATGTAATAATTACCTGCAAATCTTACCAATGTGAATACCGATTTGGAAGTATTGAGTAGTTCTTGAAAATTGTGCTAGGGTTAGGATTTCACGCGACGATTTAATCCAAGACTGTTTTAAAACAAGAATTTCTTGCAGGTTTGGATCCGGCTCTTCCAAATTTCCAGTTTGCTAAGCCAGGCAGTAGAATTTCCGCCAGCGATGCCCAGTATGTAACGATAATCCATACAAATGCAGGTTTTCTGGGTTTCGAAACTGAAATCGGTGACAGCGATTTTTACCCCAACGGCGGCAGTGCGCAAATTGGCTGTGCGCCTGATATACTTGGCGCTTGTTCCCATTATCGCTCGTGTCTTTATTTCGCGGAGGCCATTAATAGTGAAAAAGGCTTCTGGGGAACGCTTTGCAACAACTTTACTAATTACATTCAGGGCTTGTGCACTTCGGATCCTGAAGGACCTATGGGCACCGTCGATCCACTCTTCAACGTCATTGGCATGTACTATTTAGAGACGGCTACAAAATATCCGTATGCTTTAGGACACAGAACATTCTATTTCTAACCTAATGTTCCTTTTCTCATAGCCTAAAGTTAGTAATTCAGTTGCAGTATATAAGCATTGCTACGAACGAACTGATGAAAACTCGATTTTGATTCTTTTTGTTTTTAAAAACATGCCTCCCAGATCGAGCACTCTTTGATGTTTATTAAGGGACGTGAAGTAATAATAGTATTGATGCCCTCTAATGAACAACTTGCAAAGGAGCAACATATTTTTTATGACTAACAACAATGAACTCGATATTTTGTAATCGTGCACTGCTTGTAACTAGCAATCAGATGAAGTACTATATTATTCAAAAGAAGTGTTGACAGTATTAGTTGATTTTATTTTAATTCTGACGTGAATTAGTCTGACAACGCATTGATAAAGGTCGTTGTATTTTTTGTAAACTATTGTATAATTTGCATGTGTTGTAAAATTGTGAAAAAATTTCGAAAATAAAACTATCTCCTTCTTGACAAATTTCTTCGTACTTCGTTATTTATCTTACACTTTCGCGAAACCTATGTGAAATTTTATTTCCTCTCGTTTATTGATAAGGCTTTTAAATTGCATAATGATAAATAAAATAACAGCTTTTGAGTCTGATTAAAGCAACGTGTATTTCTCCAGTGTTTTTTACTATCATATTATATTCAGGATCCATATGGTTTCGATACGATATAGTATATTACCTATAATGCAATTAATTTTTTGCCTTCCATCTCTGAAAAATACACGTGGTAGTCTATTGAACACTGCGAACGCCAGACGTGGAATAAATCAGCTCGTTGAATAATCGTTGTCAACGAGTCTTTGATATGTCGTGGTCGAGGCTGTTTCTTGCGTCATAATCATTGCAACTGTTCCATTTTTATCAAATAATAATGTAGTCAGCCTGTGATGAGTCATCGAAATCGATGTCTTGAAGTAACTTCATACCTCTTGATTATGTATGAAAATATTTCGATTATACTATTTTGGACCTGGAAGGGGAAGGTAATTAAATCTTTGTTGGTCAATGTGTAGACAACACATGGAAATCATGACGTATAGAGGTGAAGATACGAACGCTCATGTTTCCAAGCTTAAACACTGCAAACCCAAATTGAGTCTCATGCTTCCGTTTCGTTCGACCAAAGTATTTTTTGATTTCGTACATTTCGGTAAATATCTAACACTATTTCGTTAAAGTATTTGACAGACAATCGTTTGACCCTTCGATATAATTAGTAACGAGTTTTAAAGTTACAATTGAATTCCAAAAACAAAGAGTTCTACTATTATATTCGCTTCATCGAACATGAGGATGGTTTCCAACATGCACCTAATTAATTAATAATGTTTGTAGTATTATGAGAATTTGTAACGTGCATTGTTACAAAATAATTAGAAGCCGTAAAAGCATACATTGTACATGACATAGTTGAATTTCCTTCCATCGCTGGGGGATTTTCATCCTTTATTGTCCGGTATAGAGCATTTTGCAGTTGCAAAAGTAAAACAATAATTGCAGGTAATCATTGCTCCAATCGAGTGAAATCTATGATAATCATTTTCCTTTGTGGGATTATACATGGAAAACTATTTAACACTACACATCAAATGGTTCTTAATTCCATTGCTGCATAGAACATTTTCATACAAAATTTGAATTGTATCAAAGGGGCATATGTTGTCTTTTCTTAAATGAAATAATTAGCATTTTAGTAACTAAATTTATCTATAATCGCTTGTATTCGATATAAATTTATTATCGTTCAAAACTTCCTGTTTCGAACTTTTCCACGTTGTGAATAAACTGCTCATAGTACACATTTATCACGATTAGGATGGTTCATATTAAGTGTAAGAACAACGTTCTGTTGTAAATCTACTAAACGTATCTTCGTTGTAGATTCATTAACGATGAACGTTATACATGGCTATTGAATAAAAATATTATACCTAACACCAACGTCAAACTTTCCATCGAAACAGAGTAAATTTCCAATTAATAAATTTCTCCGAAATATATGTATAATTACCCGATGACACGATTCTTACATAATGAACGTTTTTCATTTTATTGTCATGCGACATTTGTTTCTAATTTATGACTGACCGCAATATTTTTATTATTTTAACAAAACTGATGTATTAGTAGACTCAATTGGTCAATGGCTTTATAAAGAAAAGTGAAACAGGTACCAGCTGCATACTTGAATCAAGAAGGCACGAACATGAAGGCATATTTCGTGAGTAGTTTGGTACTCGTTTGCAGTATCGGCGGTAAGCACATATTCGTAAAGATATTACTAAATATTAGAAAAAAATTTACTTTTAATTAAATATTATTTCGGTTTCATTCTTTTTTAATTTTCACCAACCTCCATTTTTGATCGTGAAAAGTTACAAAGAAATGCAAGAAATGATAAATTTTCTTCCCGTTTTCTCTTGTACAGTTCAATTTGCGACATTTCCTATGCAGAAATGGAATATTGAACAATCCACTATAATCGAAAAAAGATTCCAGAGGTAGGTTCCATTTAACATGAATCATTGATTTACAGGTTGGTCGCTGTTTAACAATGTCGTAGACGGTGCAAGTTGTACGGGAAACAAGGGATATCTTGCAAGTACTGCAAATCTCAACTCAGAGGTAGGAATGTACGATGACGAAGGTAATGTTGTTCCAATAAAGAATAAGGATTTGGACATCGCGGAACCAAAGGCAGTACCTTTGGAACAAGTAGCCAAAGGTGTAATATTCTACCTGTATACGAGATCGACTGTTAATAATCCTGACGTTTTGGTTGTAAATGACGTCGAGAGACTGAAAAAGAGCCAGTTCTCAATATCGAGACCAACGAAATTCATCATACACGGATGGTTAGGTTCCAGACAATCCAGACCTCTCATTGGGCTTCGTGATGGTGCGTACTTTTGTGTTATTGGTTCCTACGATTTTCATTTTACAGTGATGTCTTGGAAATTGGCCGATTGCTATCCCCACTGGCCAAGTATATTTATGTTTTTATACAAAGATTTCCTGAAAAATCTTCTTTCTACTGTGGTCAGTTTCGATCCGGAACGTCGACCTATATTCAAGGCATTGCTGTGTATTTGAGTCTAACTCGCAACATTTGACTGTCGGTTATAGATTACACATCATTTGATTTTGTTTTCCATTCTTGGCTGATTGTAAAATATTACGTGCCAGATTAATTTTACATAGGGTTACAGTCAGAAACGTATTGACGTACTTTACGGTTTAAATTTAATCGTGATTCCAGTATATGTAATCTTATCCACTGCCTCAGTGGGATTAAGTTGCTTTGCGGTACTTAGGATTACGAATTTCACATCATCCGATTAATGACTGGATTACACTACGTATATGGATCCATCCAGCAATTGAGATTTTTGACATTTAGAATCTTTGTATTTATTTTTCAATTGCTCTCATTCCGTTGTGCAGTTATCTTTTCCTATGATCACATTCTGGTACACAATAAATGCCATCAGCAGCAGGGATTCGAGACGTCCCCACTTGTTTAATCAATGTTTCCAACCGTTTCTAGCTTTACTTCAAAACGGAGACTTCAACGTCATCTTGGTGGACTGGGGTCTAATGGCGAGATCACCATACCGTATTGCCTCTACCTGCGTAGTAGGAGTTGCCAAGCAGGTCACTTCAATGATTGATTTCCTTGAGACTCAAGGAATGGATGTGTCTCCGTTGATGTTAATCGGTCATTCTCTGGGCGCTCACGTTGTCGGACTGGCGGCCCGTCACGCGAAAACCAAACCGAAATTCGTTATCGGTAAGTCCACTTAGACATATCATGATTCACGATTAAACTCCGGATGTTTATGTATTTATGGGAATTTTCAAAAAACTAGTATATTTAGGGATTCAGACAATCCACTGCAAAGCTCTGATTTCGTTAATAAAAATATGAATTTTCATAAAGATCCGCGGTCTTTTCATGGTATTTAGGTTCGTATACAGCAACCTGTTTGATAAAGTACTGTGCATCCGCGAGAAGTTGGCTAGTGAAAGGAATGCTAGTCCGATTGGTGCTTAGATCCCCACTCTAGAGTTTGGCGAGCCCCCTGTGTCGTCCTGCTAGTCAACTTCCCACGACGATATTAGTTCCGATATACAGTGTGTTCGGTCACCCTTGGGAAAAATTTGAGAGATTCTAGATGTAAAAATAAGACAAAAATTAAGAATAGCAATTTGTCGGCTGAGGCTTCGTTCAAAAGTTATTAACGTTTAAAGTTCCGCCTGGTTCTCACTCAGCATGAGAAACTCTACTTAGTGACTTATCGATAGCCTTACAGTCTCGTGAGTGAGAACCACTATCACGCGTACGCAGGCTGTTCTGCAGGCGGAACTTTAAACGTTAATAACTTTTTAACGAAGCCTCAATCAACAAATTGCTATTCTTGATTTTCGTCTTATTTTGGTCTCTAGAATCCCCCATTAAAATTTTCCCAGGGTTGGCCGAACACCCTGCATAGAATTCGAATAAATGGAACTCCGCTGTACATCTATACGAGAAACGTTGTTATCGAAACAAATCGAATTATTGAAGAATATCGAATGTTTTTGAACAGTCGCGACAAAATTAGAGTTCCACGCGACTGTCTATACCAAGATTGCTGAAAACAGGATTTTTTTACAGGTTTGGACCCGGCTCTGCCATACTTCTCGATCGCCAACACGGAGAACAGAATTGCCCGTGGTGATGGACACTACGTACTAATTCTCCACACGAACAGTGGTGTTCTTGGTTTCGACTTGCCGCTCGGTGACGCCGACTTTTACTTCAACGGTGGCACCGTGCAAAGAGGCTGTGAGGTCGATCCCACGAGCGCCTGTTCCCACTTCCGCGCTACTCTCTTCTACGCAGAGGCTCTTAACAGCGCGAACGGCTTCTGGGGTACCAAATGCGACAACTACAATAATTACAGAGCAGGTAGATGCACAGAGCCCAAAGTTCTTATGGGCGGTATCGAACCGGACACCAGCATCACCGGCGTGTACTACTTGGACACGACTGCAGTCTCTCCATATGCTTTAGGACGTTAGACCGCTCACGATAGGTAAACGTAGTGTTCTTCTTCTCGTAAACCGAAGACAATAGTTCGCGTTGTAGTAATGATATTAGGCTTTGCAAAGAAGGAACTCGATAAGAACGAGATTCACAGACAGACAACGATAAATTATTGCGTAGCTTTTTATCCCCCACCACTATTCCACCTCGATGTTTTTTAATTGTGTCCTACAAATTACCAGCAATCGAATGAAAAGAAATAAAGAAATAAAAAATCTGTGTTATCGCAGTTAATCCTTCGAATGGAATTTTTCCTCTCTTCACCTGTTACAATTTTTAGGGGCCATTGCATATTCTCGATATATTGTAAATGGGACTTATTTTAATTATTGTCCAAAGTTTTATGTAAAATTTTTAACGAGTCTCGAAAATAAAACGGGTTTCTCCTGGATAAATTTCTTACTTTTCTACCTATTTCGAACCTTCGTCTCTCGTAATTTATGCGGAACTTTGTTCTCTTTGATTCGGGGAAAATATCTTCCAAACGAAAACATTTTTCACGGCAAGTATAAATTGCACGATATTAAACGAAGTAAAAGTTTTCGATTGTACTTCTCCAACCCCTGTTGCTTTAATTTTAACAAAATGAAGACGAGAGAAAACAGTTGTGTGAGATTACAATAAACGCTCCTGAGACAGTGCAATTAATTTCGCGTAAAATGCTCTTTTGTGGGCTGTCTCGAGCAAAATTGTCAAACAAAATTAATAAATAGTTTTACTCAACTGCAAGAAAGCTGATTGTGTTAATTTACAGGTTCATATTTCTTCGCATTAAGATCTTCGTTTCCTTACTGTCTTAATCAAAATTAAACTTTGTTCTAGAAGTTTAAATCTTCTTTTGTTTAACAGTGTTAAGAAACCGATAAAATAAGTAAAACTTGCAGTGTAAGGTACAGTATTCTTGAATTGCAGAGTGTTCGAGATATACATAGATCATGATGGTTACTATCGACTATAATTCCATCATGAAAAATGAATTACGTTATGAACGAAGTTTCTTTAAAAAAGATAGCGTTAAAACCCATAAGAAGATGCAAAGAATATTTAACCAACAATCATCCTTCATAAACCTACTTCTATCAAGAATTTGTACTATAGAGAACTATACGTGTATTATAGGCGCCGAATATTAATGGCGAAGATGTTTAGTAATACAAGTTTACTTTCTCAACACGTTCCTGTTATGCGAATAATGGTGGTAACTGGCACATACTGGCGCATGCAAAGCATAACAAAATATCCAAGGTTAATGTCAAATGACACGTGCGCCACAGTGTGTAAGATACAGTCAGAGAAGCGAAATATTTTACTTGAATAATGATCGAAAACGAATAAAATCAGCGTACAACGAATTATTCATGACGTTTAATCTGTAGAAATTTATTTATGCATTGTGAAATATTTCGTTGGTCAAAATTTTTATCGAAATAAGAACTTTTTTCAATTGTACTAATCGGTTAGTATAGTTTTAAATATTGTGAAATTGACGAATTTGAATCAAGTGATTCAATGGTTAAACTAATTTGGCACGACTGCGAATCAATAAATTAAGCATAAATTTAATCGGTGACGGTTGTGTCACCGTCCGATTTCCATTTAACGACATAATTAATTGATTTACTATACTTGTTTAACTTTGGTTCGACGCTGAATAAGTTCGTACTCTTGATTTTAGGGGTTTCTAGACATTCTAATTCTTATCACATCGGTATGGAATATCAATCATCCTTTCAGAATTGGAACTTCACTGGAGCTCTAATGATTTAAATTTATTATTCTTATTTTCCTCAATGCGATTTAGAAACATTAAATTTATGTAGCGAATGTTAGATACTTACATAAGAATAGTTTATAAGGTCAATTTCTGATACTAGTAAACAAACCATATGAAAATTATAATTTTTTATTAAGTATATAACATTGCTATGATCTTCGATTGCGTTTCTTTCGATTTGGTATCACTTTTATTAAAACCCAATCCACAACTCGTAAGTGATACTCATTTAATTGATAATTAGTATTTATTATTTGACCAAGTCTGTTCCAAGCGGATATTGGAATCTTCTGGACGAGTCAACGTTTGGGTAATACTGGAAACCACTGGATAAAATGGAGGATCGTCAATGGACTGACGTATGGCTAACACTAGAAGCCACTAGGATAGGTTGTCGTGGATGAACCGATGTATAGTTAATACCGGGAGTTACTTGTATCGTTGTCATGGACAAACCAATGTGTGGTTAACTCTGGGATTCGCTAGGGTGGAACAGTTAAGTCTCATAATAAACGCGATATACTTAGAGCGGCAGAAGTATATCAATGTAGACTTTTGCAAACAGTTAAAGGAAAAATTTCTCAAATTATTTGAACTCGTATTAAAAGTACTTGACTGGAACTAGAAATCTAATCTTGCATAATTTTAGTCTTTCTTTACATGCTTATTTTATACTAAAAGAATCTGTGAATGAAGAAACACTGCGTTTGTAATAAAACACGTTAAATAATATTAACCGATTCTATTATTTTCCTATCTCTATCTGTACAATTCCTCTACAAATATTTCACATTTTCATCGACAAACCTGAAACCTAGAACACAAAAATATAAAAATGTTATATTTTTATCTAGAAATGTTACTCGATAAAATACATAGAATATTGTTACTATATAAATTTGTTTATATAGTTACTCAAACTTTATGCTCGATCTAAAGTCACAGTCCGGTAGGATTAAAATTAAAATAATGACCGAATTAATCACTGGAAGCGTTAAATTATTTATGTCGTTGGGTAAAAACCAGGATTATCTGATATATGGTAGAGAAATTAAAAAATTACAATCAAACAACTAAAAGGAATAGGTCCCACCGCTGTCACCAATTTGTTACGAACAGGGGCTGAGCAGATGCAAAGCCGAGGATTTTTATTATTAGAGTTTTGTGGACGAACCGGCGCTTGGTCAACACCGAGAGCCACGGAACAAAATGGAGGGTGGTCGACGATCCAATGTATGGTTAACATCGGGAGCCAGTAGGATGAAATAGGTAAGCCTCGTAACTTTATAACACGATATACTTCCAACGAAAAAAGTATATTTTTGCCGTAAAAATCTCTATTTTAAATTCGGGCGATCGTCGTTTTCTAAAACGTCACTATTTTCAAAACCGGATTTGGGAATGATAAGTTTCACTCTGACGCTTTAATGCACTTCTTCTGTTTTTTATTTAAATTTAACATTGTTGAAAATACATCAGCTGCCACAATTTTCTAATAAATTGACAACCTAACTATAATATTATTAGAAAATGTATTTATAAATAACAAAAATTAAAAACTATTGGGCCTGTTTTTTTACCCACCCAGGTTTATGTACCACTCTAAATTTTTATTTTTGATTCTTTCAATTGTTAGTTATTCTTTATAATTACATCTGTTTCATAGGTGAAAGGTATCTTTCACATCCTGTTAATACCTTTCACGTTTGCGTAAAGCTGACATTGAATAATTAAACAATATTATGCACAATGAAAGCAACTGTTTATATAGAAGCAAATAAAATACAGGTAACCCTCCTATAACACGGTAGATAGGTTCCTAGAAAATGCCGTGTTATATGAGACCCAAAACCAGTACAAAAAGGGGCGTTACGTTCCGAAAATTTATTAAAAACTCTTTGGTTTTAATTCATATCGAATCTTAACTGTAAGGACAATTTCATAAATGATGAAAAACGTACAAGAAGAAAAGAAATATTTGTTTTGTATCTTTATTCTGCATGGAAAGATTGTAGAAGGTTATTCGATATTATATAAGTAAATGATTCTATTGTAATTGAATCGACATCAAATACATTGTTACGCGACACCTGTTTGACATCTATAAGCAATAGTTACATGTCACCTTTTGATTGAAACTTATCGATCGATTCAATTATTCTACAGCTATATAAAGGAACCCTCGAATACGAGTAGTTGCCAATGTCACAGTTAAGGCAAGAATCATGAAGATTCTTTTCCTAAGTGTTTTGCTGCTCTTCTGCAGCGGGGAAGGTATGCATAATATTTATTTCGATTCCCTTCTTCCATCACTTTTTGTAAACTTTTATGGTGCATAATATGTCAATTAGTTTTCATTTCTAATCGCGACAAATTATAAAGCATAGCACAACAGTTGAATATTCGCAAATTTTTCTATTTTCCCAAACAGTTGTCATCTTCGATTCACAGCATTCTCTAAATTGTGAACTAAGTTCTGTGATCGATTCCAATCCACACGAAAATACCTACTGTTTACAGGTTCCATAGAGTGCAAAGAGCAAGGATCAATGTTGTCGGATGGCACCATTAACCCTGACGCATTAAATCTGCACTTAGCCTTCCCAGAAACTTTGGCGGAAACTAAAAAGCAATTACCCAAGTATGTGACCTTCTACTTGTACACGAGATCGAACCCAACTAATCCTCAGACGTTGCACGTCGACGACGTTAACACTTTGAGGAGCAGCTTCTTCGATTCGCGCAGACCAACCGTAATCGTCACACACGGATGGGTTAGCTCTTACACGAGCTTAGCATGCACCACGGTTCGCGATGGTACGTGTTTCCACATTGTTTAATAACTCAACGCATAATCGGAATCTTCGTGTTTATCATAAACTTCACGATATATAAATTCTACTTAAAGCTTCTATTTTTGAAGTTGTCTCAACTTACTGTTTTCCAGCTAAACAGTTGGACACGATAAATTCTATTAGCTTCGATGTTCCTTGCTTTTTGCAGCTTACCTCCAACATGGCGACTACAACGTCATATCGGTGGACTGGAGTCCAATAGCGAAAAACGAATATATTTGGGCCACAAGGCGAGTCACAATGATCGGCCAGTATATCAGCAGCATGATCAATTTCCTGGAGACACAAGGAATGAATGTATCTACGTTAACCGTGGTTGGACACTCTCTTGGCGCTCATATTGCCGGACTAGCAGCCCGTAACGCAAACGGCACAGTGTTATACGTTGTCGGTAAGTCCTCCGAGTCGCGCTGATCTTGATTCGTTCGCTGTTTGCGCTCGTATTCAATTATGGACCGAGCATTTGATACTAATTTAGACGAACACGCGGGTTCTAAGAATCGTATAGTTCGTTAGAAAAAAAAACACGTGACACAAAATAATTTGTACTGCGCAATTATTCTTCGGTCAAAAATTAGTCGAAAATACCGATTTTTATACTATTGTTGCATGAAAAAATAACATTAATGACGTGAATGCCTCAGACTACAGAACTACTCGATCAAACAGTTCAGAGGCCTCGAAGAAAAGAGTAACTATTTTGATGTTTACGAAAATGAAAGATATTAAAGACAGCCTTATTAATCGTTGTGAAATTGAAATGTGTAATTTTGAGCAGAATTTGGACTTCTACACGAGAATAGTTTTAACGACATACGAGCTTGTAGCTCATCCTTTGTATATTTGAATATAACTCTAGTGCTTATATTTAGTAAACAGCCAAGCAAATTAACGAAAATCGTGAAAAATTTAAGTCGCGTTTGACTATGTTAGAAAGTTTACCTAACTTTAGTCGTAACCGATGAATACTCGAGAATAAAATAAGAAAAGCACGACAGATTATCGCAGAAAGGTAAAAGAAAAATCTTTTTGTAGGATTGGATCCTGCTCGTCCGAATTTCAGTAGTGCTGGCCTAGACACCAGGATTGGCCGCGGAGATGGACGATATGTACTGATTATTCACACGTGTAGTGGTATACTTGGTTTCGAAGCTGCGATCGGTGACAGTGATTTCTATCCGAACGGTGGTACCGTGCAACCGTCTTGCGGTGCAAATCTCTCGTGTTCCCATGAACGATCGTACCGTTTCTTCGCGGAATCCATCAACAGTAGGACAGGATTCTGGGCAAAACGCTGCAACAACTACGTTAACTTCATAGAAGGCAACTGCAACTCTGAACCCCCTGTACTTATGGGCGGCGCCACACCGAATTTCAACGCCAAAGGAGTATACTATTTGAAGACTGCTAGCAAGTCTCCGTATGCTCTGGGAGCTTAACATAGCTACGATCTATGACTTAACGACTTGGTCATAAGATCCTATATTGTAATAGCACGTCTTCCGGTACACATCTTGCCTAAGGATACAACAATCGAGACCATGGTTTGGGTATTTGAAACGAAAAATAATGCACTCAATACACTGTATTAGCAAATAGAAACAATTGGCAGTATATGCGCTCTGTGATATACGATTTATAGATGTAATATACGTGTTTTGTAACTAGAATTTTTATCCCTATAATTATTTTCTTCTTGAGATTTCTTTGTGTCTTGGTATTTATTTTACGTATTCCCCAAACACGTGTAATAATCTCCCTTTCGTTAAGTGAATATATTTAAAAAAAGAAACATTTTTCTAGGCGAGTTAAAGAACTCCAGATTGAATTATCCAGGTAAGATTGTACATGAATTATGTATAGAATTTTTGCACCATTTCGATCATATACATATAAGCAAAATATATTTGCCACAGAATAAGTGAAAGTAATCTACCTTTACGATCGTCCAATTACATATTTTAAAATAAACAGCTTAAACGGTATGACGATATGAATGTACATTCCAAGTTTTACTTTTAAAATGTCTGTTAAGGATTCTAAAGGAACCTTAACATCGCGGAGTTTCTGATACGGATTACGCTATTTATGAGGATTAGGACTCCGAGACATTGATACTTGACAAATTAGGATACGGTCATTAAGGAACCTCCAAACTCCACACGGAACTTGGAATCCTTGGAACTCTTCGTTGCCTTATAGCGATTGACGTATCGTAAACCCGCGTTGGCGCACAACTGCGGACCACCAGGGTCTCGCGATCGTTGGGCATTTCCCAAATAAGTTAATAACAACGCAACGTTCTCGCTAACTCCTGTATGGTCTACCTGGACACTGGACAGCAAGGTAGACAGGAATGTTGCAAATTGTTAGGAACCACCTTGCCAAGGTGACGACGATGAGGATCCCCCGTCCGGTAGGCAATGTTCGTCGTTGTCACCTTGGCAGGGAAAACCAAGGTTTCCCTATGGGAAAAATCAGGACGGAGAGTTAGATTAATTTGACAGAGTTACGTCTTCACATTTAGTCTCCGCAAGAATTCATTCCTACGTATCAGAAGCATCGTCTTCTGCGGGTAAAGGTCAGGGGTACACGGTTAACACTTTGACTGCCACGTCACCCATATATGGGTGACAGAACTTTTAACAGTGGAACTAAAACAATTTATTCTCAAGTTGAAATGTTAAAGAAAATAAATTTTAATGAAGTTACGAACGTAACTACTAGGACAACTTTTAAGTTGTGTAGTTTACAATTGACTAAATTCAAAGTTTTGGTCTTGTAAACAATTTTAGGATTTTAGACTGGCAGTCAACGTGTTAAGGAGCACAGAGTGGCTGTGCCACAAGCAACGACCACGAGCAACAGTTGTAAAAACATTTCGAATATTTGTTCGTGGCCAAAACACTGTCTATGATATTATTTAAATTTCATTATGCAAAATTAATTTTTGTTCGTTCGGCTGAGGTTTGAAATAATGTAAAAACTAGTTAACACTTGAGTCTGAATAGTACTATAACACCTGTGATCAAAGAGGGTCCCAAACTGGTATATCTTCACCTGAGGCAACTCCACATTGAATGTCCCAAACAGGAATACACTTGTCTTCCCTACATCGGGACTCTAATTTACAACTTCTGAACTTTGACATGAAAGCAAACACTCACCTGAAGGTATCTACTACACTTTCGACGGAAGTTAAAATTATACAAATGGAAGAGAATTCTGTGCGATGAACGGAATTGGAGAATTAAAGTGTTCCAACGTTCAATGCATCTCGTTCAAACGTTTGTATGTAATATTTTCTATAATAGAAAATCAGTCTCGATTGGTATTTTAGCTTCTAAACTTTTATAAATAAAATTACTACTTGGACAAAGTGAACGATCGTGAATTTGAACAGTTATTACTATATCGTAAGAAACTTTGGCCATTGGTTGGAAATCTTGTAAATAAAATCCTTGAACAATTAATTATCAAATTCTTTGTAAAATTCGAACACTTATTACCTGTTATATTATATATTTTATGTATTATTGTGGTGTATGTTCTTTTCAATAGTCCTTCCTTGGATATAAAAAATAAAAATTATAGAATTCTCTCATACGTAAGACATATAACATAATTTTGCTATAACTTTATAATGAACACGAAATAGTTGATCAAAAATAATGCATTGAGTAAATCTTTGGTAAGATTATTCATTGATATTAAAGTTATCGCAAACATATGTAATATATTACGTTGTTATCTTTGAAAACAATTCTTGCTATAAATTCCATTCAGCGTAATTAAACGTAGGATAAGAAAAAATCTCGACTCAAGATAAAAATAAAAATTCTATCCAAATAGCTATATATTACACACCGTCTGCAGTTTTCGTATAATGATCACCTACCAACATAAATGTTTCTAAATATTTCGAAGTTTGCTTTAGTTTTAACACGAGCAAAAACACATTATTTATGAAATTAATCACAATTCGATATTTTGACTCTAGTTCTGCACTTTTCAAAAAATCAATTGTTTAATTTAATCTTTATCTCTATTTTTCCTTTTTCATGTACCATTACTAAATTATTTTAATTTCATAACCACTATTAATTAAATTTAGTTTTATAAAAAATTTGTTTTCGTTTATGTCTGACAAAAATGTAGTCAAATATTTAAATATAATTTCATGAAATTGTTACCTAGTTCATCGTATTCTGCCAGAAGTAACGACAGTAAATGTGATTACTCTTAAAATAAAGCGTGATCGTTAATACCTGGCCAATAATATTTTTCGAAAAAGCAAAGACACAATGCTAAATACGAAGTAATGCATCCCGATTGAATAAAATTGCTTATCGATCAGCCACCTGTTCAATTTCCGACTGGTCGTTTTACCAGGAAACAATTAATACTGTTTTCTGTCCTAAACTGTCTATCACCGGCAACTGGTTTTTCAATTGATCGACTCGCGGCTAACTGGACCATTGGTAATCTAAACCCTTTACTGTGACTATTAATGCCCGCACTTGATTAGTTTTAGTAAGTAATTTGGCAACTGACCGTTTAACGTTTTCAAATTACATACATAGCACGGAAATGATATTGATATTACTCGATTTTTCAGGCGATGAAGAACTACAGTCTTACGATTTATCTTTCAACGTTTGTCAATTTCTCTGAATCAACTCCAAACATAAAAAATGAATGACACAAAATGTCTTCTAAATCAAATAGTTAATATTTTTGTTTACTAACGTGTATTCAAAATTATACGATTCTATTAAAGAAAACGAATTTCAATTTTTGTCTCAACTATTTTTTACACGTCAGATAATTTACAGATTGAAATCGTACGCATTGTATACAATATATGTATCAATTATAAGTATCAGGATTATTGCTTTGGCCAGGTGTTTAGAATTGTCGATCACGACGAAACGTAAAACTCCACATTGCCGGTTAAAATTTTAATTTTAGCCTAAGGAAAAACAGATATCCCGTATATTTCAACTAAATTAACCTGCCGGAATATCAAGTTCACTGCGTTCGTATTATACCCAGCAGACACGTTCGTCCAACGGTTAGTAGAACGAACGATCCTCTCCGAACCCTCTTTAACGCTGGTCATCGGAAAACGCATCCACCGCGGCAGACATTTTACAGAATTTCACCATATTTGCGTTGCACTCGTGCGTATTGCCAAGTGAAAATTGCCAGTCGAGAAATTGTCGCCAGAGAAGAAACGTAGAAATCGCGGCCTAAAGAACTCGCCGCATCGGTGTCAGTAATTCTTGTCAACCGTTCGCCGCGCGGATCCATTTTGCCCGGCGAGATTAAAATCCGAAATTGTCGACCAGGAAAAAATTAAACTTCTATAGTTTCTGGTATCTATCAACGCGACTCGGCTCCATATATCAGCCAATACAACCCCCCTCTTCCTCCACGCTTGTTCCAGGAACTATTGTCCGCTCTTTCTTCCTTCGTTCCCGTCTGCGACTGGGACAATTGTTATACCGGATACCCGGCTTCCGATAGGCCATTTATTTTTCTCGGTGGAAGGAGAACGAACGAAAATCCTCTCGCGCTTCCGGTACGTTCGCGTAGGTTCGGAAAAATTCTTGCAAGTGGCAGATTAAGAGATCTACTTTAGAAATGATAAAATTGTTTTCTCGATTTCCGGAAGTTTCGAATCTTTAAATAACGCTCTTTATTGGAGCTTAGATGAAAATTGGAGTTGGAATGTTTACTATGAATAGTATTGTCTTCCTTGTCAACAGTTTGACCGCCACGTCACTCATATATGGGTGAGAGAACTTTTAACAGTGGAATTGATACAATTAATTCTGAAGTTTAAATGTTAAAGAAAATCAATTTTAATAGGCTTCAGAAATTTTACTGGAATTACGAAAGTAAGTATTACGACAAGTTTCAAGTTATGTAGTTTTCGATTGTTCAAAATCAAAGTTTTAGTCTTGTAAACAATTTTAGGTAGTTACTAAAAATTTCTGTGGGTAGATTGTGAAATGAAAAATAGACACAAAATATATGTGTTGTTAGAAAAGTATTATTTTTTAAATATTTTTCGGCTAAAATTTCATTCCAGTATCACTGATCGGTTAAAAGTTATACAATAATGTCACTAAAATTTGAATGCAACAATTGTATTGTTATTTTCTGTGTATTGTAAATTATTGAAATAAAGTTTATCCATAATTTTCTACGTAATTATTCGTTTCTTTAATGAATTAAAAATTGGGATTACACACTGCGATTGATGCTTCATATTATCATGTTACAAGTAGTACACTATTTAAATAATCCTTATACAAAATGTAGAGATAGTGTGAGAATATTAATGTGAGAAACTGTAATTAAGTTCATGATTGAGACAAGTATTGTTTTTTTAATATTTCTCGACTTAAATTTCATTTCCATTGTATCACTGGTGGATCAAAACTTATACAATAGTGTCACTAAAATTTGAATGCAACAATTGTATCGTTATTTTCTGAGTACTGTAAATTATTGAAATAAAATTCTTCATAATTTTCTACGTAATTATTCCTTTAATGAATTAAAAATTGGGGAAACTGAGGTTAATTACAAGCAGCACAATGTTTAAATAATCCTTATTTATACGAAATTGAGAAACAATTCAGTGTGAGAATATTAAAGCGTGTAACTGTAATTAAATTAATGATTAAGACAAGTG